ACACTAGGAACTGCCTACCATCCGGAAGGACAAGGACAAGTCGAACGGCAAATGCAGACGATATGGGACGGTATACGTAAGTTCTGCGACGTAAAAGACGGACACCGTTGGCACAGAGCCTTACCCTACGTCGTCTGCGGGATGAACCGAGTAGTCCATGCCTCGACGAAGTTCTCTCCGTTCTACATGCTGTACGGGCGAGAAATGCCCATGCCACAGGACATAGTGGCCGGAACAAACACACCGGAAACCTTTACGGACAAGAAACACTACATCCGACGGATAAAGCAACGACTTCAGCGGTCGCACGAAATCGCACGCATCAACATTGATGACGCATTTGAGCGGAACGCCGAATATTATAACAAAAAAAAGTCGTCTCCGACCTTCAAACCGAGGGATAAGGTATCGGTGGAAATTCCAACTAAAGACCCAGCTAGAATGGAACGCTACGATGGAGTTTGGACGGTCATCAACTACGTTGGCCCAAACAACTTGCTCCTTCGATGCGAAGACGGACGTGAAGATACGGTTGCCGTCGATCGAGTAAAACATTACCGAGCCGTGACAAGTCGGCCGGTAACTCGATCATCCGGTTCAGTAGCCGACCTCACAAAGAGGGAGGCAGCTGAAAAACCAAAGAAGAAACCGGAGGAAACCGTCGAAAAGCCTTCGGATCCGACCAATCATACGGATAAAACCGAATCGACGGTTAAGAAGAAACGAGGTCGACCTCGGAAGAAACCGCCGACTGACTTCGAAACACCGGCACTGCAAGAACTGCAGAAGCAGGATGTTATAGCTGCTGAACCGGAACCAACTCCGGAAGAATCAGCAAAGGAAATAGCCGAACCAACCACGGAGAAACCGAAGGAGTCGGAGGATAAATCAAAAACACCGACCCGACCTACGGAAGAACCGAAGACAGCGGCAACTAAGCCACCTCGGAAAAGGAGGACGGTTAAGACAACCGACTCGCCGGCACAGGCCACAAAGGCCGTAGTAGCCGACTCGGCAGTCCAACCGACTAAGCCGAAGCGAAAGTATACGAAACGGAAGGTCGACTCGACCAATATACCGGCACCGACTACGGAAGTCGCCGTAGCCAACCAGGCAGTCGAACCGACCAAGCCTAAACGGAAGTATGGAACGGGTAAGAAACCGAAGTTGACGGCCCAGCAGATGCTGGAGGAAACTGATGTCGCCGAAGACGAAGCCCACAAGGAAATCCTCGAGAGAATCTCAGAAGGACGGGCAGACTCGGAGAAACCGACCAAAATAACTAAATCAAAGGCACCCAAGACTATAGTCACAACAGAAGTCACAGCAGCCGGTGACCTACAAGCCAAAAGAGGTCCATCAATGTCCTGATCACCGACCTCGCCCGGACGATGAAAACAAAGAAGACTACTTCGGCGGCGAACCGCCGGTTAACGTTCCATTGGGTTAAGATCGAGTTCCCACATTGGAACCCGATCCCCCTCTTCGAACATCTAAGGGGACCTTATGCCGAGAAACGGCATGGTCGAGAACCGACCTGGCTGAGAAACACCATAGTCGAGAAACGACTTCGAAACGGAATGGACACCTTTTTCTTTTGTTCTCTTTGCAGTTGTGCCAGTTGCGCCGACTATACAAGTTGGCCGGCGACCAAACGGAGGTCGGAAGCGTACGACAACAAGTCGGAAAACCAATCAGAAGTCGGATGTCGACCTCCTAGCGCAACATTCTAGCTTTTGGACGGATGGAAACACAGTTCCTCCGACCTTGGGAAGTCGGACATAGCCGACATTGGAATACCGATTTCCTAAACCGACCTCAAATCGAGGTCGGAAGCGACCAAACGGAGGTCGGAAGAATGCGACAACAAGGCGGCAAAAGCATTTGGAAGTCGGAAACCGACCTCTTAACGGAAAAATCAGCTTTGGGACGGATGAACACACAGTTCATCCGACCTTCCGAAGTCGACTATAGCCGACCTTGGATAACCGACCACAAGTCGGAAGTCGGCTAACTTAGTCAACATGACGAAAGGAGACGGATAACTGTCTGCGGTGGAGGAATTCGACCTGAAAGAACTTGTTTAGCCCTACATGGGCATGTTATTGCAGGTTAACCTTAGTCGACCATCGACAGATGGAATGACCGACCTCGAGTCGGAGGTCGGACGTGACCAAACGGAGGTCGGAAATCCACGACAACAAGTCGTCGGAGTAACCAGAGGTCGGACATCGATCTCTTAACGGAAGAATTTAACTTCCAGACGGTGAGAAACACACTTTATCCGACCTTTTAAAATCGGACATAGCCAACCTGGGAACATCCACATGGATATCCGACCTCAAGTCGGATACGTTGACTGACCAACACTGGTCGGTTAACCCAGTCAACTGAAGCTGGACGGATAACTCTCAGGATGAAGTCGAACCAACGAGTGCCGACTAGCCCCACATTGGGCGTGACGGTATAAGTCGTCTTGGTCGACCATGAAGAAAAACGTACAACCGACCTCGAAGTCGGACATCGTCAAGACCAAACGGAGGTCGGAAATGCGCCACAACAAGGTCGGCAGAGCAATCGGAAGTCGGATATCTACCTTCCTGCAGAAGATTTCAACTTTTGGACGGTTAAAAACAGTTTCACCGATCTTCGGAACCGATAACCGACCTCGAAGTTGGAGGTCGGAAGTGACCAAACGGAGGTCGGATAAACGCGACAACAAGTCGGAACAGCAATCAGAAGTTGGAAATCGACATTTGAACGGAAGAATTCAGCTTTGGGACGGATGGAAACACATTTCATCCGACCTCAGGAAGTTGGACATAGCCGACTTCGGAACATTCACATGGATAACCGATCTCAAATTGGATACGTTAGCCGACCAACATTGGTCGACTAACTCAGTCAACCATTACGGAGAGGACGGATAACTACCTCGCGATGGACGAATCCGACCAGAAGCAACTTGCCCAACCTAGGTCGACCATCGGAGTACGGAATTCCGACCTCGGTTCGGATACCATTATGACCGACCCTGAGTCGCACAACATTGTGACCGACTACAGGTCGGATAATAACGGAACGTATTGGAGGGAAGTCGACTAGACACTTCCACCAAAGGAACCAAAGATGGATAAATCACGTGACTGAACCGAGGTCGGAAATGTACGGCAAGAAGTCGATGGAGCAACCAGAGGTCGGACGTCGATCTCCAAACGGAAGAATTCAACTTTCTGACGGTGAGAAACACACCTTAGCCGACCTCGGAAAATCCGACCTCACTTCGGACACCATTATATCCGACCTCAGTTCGGATAGAATAACCGACCTCAAGTCGCACAACATTGTGACCGACTACAGGTCGGACGACAACAGCATGCATCGGATGGAAGTCGACCAGACACTTCCACCAGAAGAACTGAAGATTTCCGACCGGACCCTCGAGCCAGTTCGCATCGGATGACTTCATAACCAGGCTCGTGGTAGCAGATTTAACGGTTGTACCGACCACTTTGGAACGGAACTGCTGTACTTGACGACCATAAAGGTCGCATGAATTTGGTATAGCTTTGTCCGACCTGAACTTCGGAACTCGGAACTTAGCCGGATTCCCGACCTGCCGATCGACGCATCGGTAGTCCGACCTTGGCCAACCGACCTCGGTCCAACCCCCATTCAGAGAGGATGCTTCGGCATTTGCAACTGCAACGGTGCCTCTCTCTTCCCAACGGACGGATACGAGTCGGAAGTAAGTGTTAACCATGCTTATCCGACCCCGACCTCGCCCCGGACCCAACTCACCGGATGAGATTGGACAGGAGACCCCGTGGCAACTCAAGCACCCCGTGGACGTCATCCTAGTCGGAATAAGACCCCCGGACAGATTTTTGCATTTTTTTTAGAATTCTTTCCTAACAAATGGAATTGTATTTTTCTAGTTCGATCTCTTTGACAGATCTGTTTTGTAACCCTTTTGCTCACTTGAATTGTGAATAAAATTTTATTTTTCTTTCGCGCTGTATAACTTTCATTACATTTTTCATTGTTCTCCGATGCCAACAGAAGCAAGAAGCCAGCCAACAGATGCATCACCGGCCCAACGAAACGCACGAGCAACTTCCGGATTTCTCGGCCGTGAGCTGCTTGCCTCTCACGGGTCTGGAAGTGGATGAAGGGACGGTCAACTAGACACCGGACTCCCAGCTGCCAGAGGACGCGTACCGGCGACCCCACACTGGGTCCAACCGGAGAGTTGTGCAGTACTGGTGCGGTACTGAGTCGGAGCATCCTTCGCGGGAGCTCGGATTCCCGCCCAGAGGCATGTCAGGCAGATGAGCCTGTGCGTGGTGCGTACGGCTCAACATAGAGCGTACTTGCACTCACTTACATGCCATATTGCCTCTCTCTTGTACGCACGGGTGACGCTGCACTGCACTCATCCACTGAAGTGGATATACCGCATGCGCCACACTGAGCTGTACTTGCTCTCTCGTTCCTCTCTCGCAGTACTACTCAGCGTTCATACGCTCGCGTTGGGTAGAGTCCAGTCTGCGCATCACACAGCTGATTCATCGCATGGCCCGCATCAACGCACGTGCTTGGCGCCAGCATTCTCTCACGTCTGGACAGACGCTCAAGAACCCTTTTAGCAAACACTTGCTAGATTTGGCCACACGTGCCTTGGTTCTTTCTTCCCGCTTTTACGCGGTATTTGTCAGCCTTTATTTGTCAATAAAGACAGCATCGTGAGCTCCTCGCCATAGTCTGTTACAGCCAGTACACTGGTTGACACGATAAATTGACTGTATCCAAGGCGATGCCGTCCGCTGTCCTGCCAAGCGCCGCTTGTGTCCTGCCACCTGCCTGTCGGTTACCTGCCACTTGCCTGCCACTTGCCTGCCTGCCTGCCGTGTCCAGGTTTTAGTAACACCCAGTTGATTTTACAAAAGAGGATCCACAATGCAAGTCCGGGATCGAGCAACAAAATCAACAGACCGAACTTACTGATACAACGTATCCACAAACAGGTCCTGAAATGCAATACCAGACAAACCATTTCATAAGTCAACATTGCGCTACAGTCTGCGGTGCAGGTACAGTACAGTTCTGTATAATATATACGTCTGTTGTGGACCTGTGGTGTTATGCTCCCGGTTTTCACAACATAAGCCAAGTGATCCCATGGCAGTCGGAGCAGTAATCGAATAACTTTCGCAAACCGTATACATAACCGTGATAAGAAAATGGCACCGATTTGGAGTATTGCGCAGTGACCTTTGGAAGTCATTTCGTTTATGTCGTTCAATCGGTAAAATGCAAAGGAACAACTTCTGCCAAGCAGACGGCTTCTAAATCGCTTTGGGGATTCGGGGAAGTTCCTTTCCGACGAAAGAGTCCAAACCAAACGGACACTAATCCGTGATTCATGACTCTTTCCATTAAAAAACCATGACATTCGCAACGGGTTTGTTCAGCGGTAATTTACGAGTGCAGATCATCTTGTTCAAAATCTTCGGATTCTGTTACCGAAGCCATGGTAAATCAGACACAGAATGCAGCCGATGTGTGTCAAATTTCGACGATCTGTCGCATCTTTGCACATTCTTTTGGTTGCTAGCCAGTTGGATCTTCGCATTCCTAAATCTGTCCGTCGCCGTCCAACACATAATGGACCTACCGCATAATCGGTCTCTTACTACGGTTACTGCCTGCTTACCCTGGACAGCCGTATCGTTTCGCGCCGCTGTTGTTGCCACTGTTTTATACGCGAGAAAAGAGCCGTGGAAAAACCTCCTAATCGAGGCAAACCATCTGTTGAGCCAGTGCTTCCAAAACGAATACGATAAACTGTATACAAGGCGGCAAACGTTTAAGGACACCAATCACGTTATGATCATCTTTGCAATTATATTCCAAGTTGGGTGGGAAGTATCCCGCTGCGTACAGCACATGCAGCTCACGGGAACTTCCTGGATGGACGACGGAGCGCTACGCCCGTTACCGGTGCATATGCGCTGGTGGCTGCTCACCGCGTGGTGGTGTTTCTGTGTCTCGCTTCCATTTTTCCTGGGTCAGTTGTTGTTCGTATCTGTCGCAATGATCGCCAAAATGTCGGGAGATTGCTGTGTCATCTTAAAGGAATCTGTTATCCTGGAGGTGGATAACCTACGCTCTCTGACATCTACCACCAAAATTTTCGCGACCACCCAGCAGGATATTAGCATGGCGTTTGCTGTGGCCACTAGCAGGATCACAGCCATCAAATGGCGCTACCTTGACCTTTGCCGTCTTTGTGATAAAGTGTGCCGGAAATTTGGTGTCGCCCTGTTTTTTATTTATGGACTGGATCTGGTAACAGTGTGCGGTTATATCGCGGCAAGCGTCAACCGCTCTGACAAGCTACTTTCCACGGTCGTGTTGAATTCCGTTGGAGCTGTGGTTTATACGGCGTACATCACCGTTTATATGTGGCCTTTTGTTCCTGCATATGAAGAGGTTTGAGACGCTTTTGTAAGCAGAAGATTTCAGCTAACATTACGGATTTGTTTACATCAGTTCAATGCAGTGCTTTCAGTCGCTGAAACCAGACTGGTCAGTAGAAAAATCGTCCAGTTATACCTGTCGACATTTAGATAAACGGTATGCCGGGTATGGGAACACAGTATTCTATAATGATAACGCTTTTTTTTGGCAGAGCAAACACGTTAATGTGGTTCTTCATGATTGTCTGGCACTGATCGAGTCCATGAAAATTCTTAAACCGGCAGTAAGTGCAGCTTGAAGACCAATTTGTTGACTTAAATGTTTCTAGTCATATGTACTCATTATACAGGCACATTCACATTTATCTCTCCGTCATTGATAATATTTTGGCTTAGTGGTAATTAGGATTATGATTATTACAGATACATAAACCTTTGCGCTCTATGCTAAAGAGTTTCCTGAAGGTCAGTACTGACCGTCATCTGTCATACAAAGGGGTTGGAATCCTGCATTTTACTCGATCGCTAACTTGCATTGTAAGTTTTACAGCTGTATAACAATTTGCAGAAGTTGTACATGATAATAAAATCTAAAAGGACGACTTTATTTTTCGGCAATACTTATAGACCTTTGCTGCGCTGGTGTTATTTGCCGTGGTCACCAACGAAGTACTGTCTAAGGAATCAGCACCTTTGGCCATCACAACGAAGGATATCACGTCTGTCGCACTCAACATCACCGCCAAGACATAGTTGTAGTCAAACGAAGCATTGACACTTTGGTGGTATCTATTGGCAAAAACAAAGAGTTATTACTTAAAGGCTGTCGTCGTTGTAGGCAACTTGTTACAAAAGTCTTAGCGTCGGTAAGCGATGCCGTCGGGATGCAAGAACATGTAACACAGATTGCACTTTTTCCTTACCGTTTACTTTATTGATTCGAAGAGAACAAGCAGACCACATACAGAGTTGTGTCACAAGAAACTATTAACAATTCTTTTCAGGGCCAATTCACATTTTTTCGGATTGGTTTGAATCTAAGAAATACAAAAAACTGTACAAATGCATAGTTAAAATTCTTCCAAAATTTAAAAAAATTTAAAATACCCGGCAATAAAAAAATTATGGGAGAAAATAAGTTAAGTGCTAGCCACACATGGTTTCTTTTGCACAATGCATCACGGTCGCAAATTGTTTTCTTCGTCTTCGGTGTGGCAAACAAATTCCTCGGTTTCAGTGTTCACGGCACGATTACAGTTAAACGTGACGTATGGCTCGTCGAGCTGCATGTAATGGTTTACTTCATCTCCCTGCAAAAGCTGCTCAATTTCCCGTCGTAGCGCGGAAAAATTCGGCCGATCTGCGGCTTCGAAATCCCAACATTGCCTCATGATAGTGTACCTTAAGGGACAGATAGTGTTCCTCATGATAGAGTACCAGATAGTGTACGGCTCCTGATAGTGAACCTTTAGTTAACATTAAAGCAAACGAAGAATTAAGCTCCGTTTACGCGCATAATATCAGGTAGGTTACTGAAAAAGGTCATATACTCACATATTTCCTGGACATGCGGAAGGTTTCGACAAGCGTAATCCAGCTTTAAGAACTGCAACCCAGCTGTCGATCTGACAGCAATCATCTTTCATTTCAGCACTATATGGACTTTCACCGAATGTGAAGATCTCCCACACCACGATGCCAAACGACCAAACATCAGATTTCTCTGAGTATAACTTCTCCTGCAAACTTTCAGGTGCCATCCATTTTACGGGCAGACGGATATTCTGTAAAGATAGGAAATACTGCTTTTTCAAGCTTCTGCTCGACATGTTTACGATTTTCTTAAACTTCTACTCGACACTTTACCTTTGAGTCGACCATGCGATAGTATTCAGATCTCTGCTTGGATAGACCAAAATCACATATTTTTACCACCTTGTTCTCATACACCAGTACATTTCGAGTTGCTAAATCCCTGTGTATAATGTCATGATGGGTCAGGTATTCCATTCCCCGAGCGATCTGGTAAGAGAAGCTAGCAAGTTCCTCCAATTTCTCAGACTTCCTCACGTTGCAATTCACAACGGCGCCGTCCTTCAGTACTTCTACTGTTGTTTCTTGCGTGCAGGAATACTGTGCTGCCGTAAAGAGTGCTTCGTCTTCAAACGTCTCACGACTATCTCGAAGATAGTTCAGCAACGATCCGAATGGCGAATATTCCAGTAATATTTGCAAATCACCTTTCGAAAAAAACATTAGATTGTCAAGTGGTGTTAGCAGCGTTTCAGTGGCAGTAAGTAATAACCGTTTGTGCACGGACAGACAGGCATGCTGCTTCGTTATCTGTGATTTTTATTTCAAGCCAAACAAGTACACGCTTTAAGAAACATCGAAATAAGAGCGCATTGAACATTTCCGCTCTCTCTCCGCGATATCTCTGATTGACTTTACTATACGATTTTTTGTTGTTAGCATTAACCGCTGTTTCCTGGCGAAAAGAACTGGCCTTTTCTATTTGTTACATCGGTTATACCTGACAACGTCATTCCCAGAAGGTTCACAATATTCAGGTGACGTCCCACTTGAGCATGAATTGTAACCTCCTCCATCAAAAGCTTGTGCTGGTATTTGTCAATTGGGTTTTAACACATTTTACGGCGACTAAACAAGGTACCGGATTCAGATATAGCTTGTGCGCCACAGCTTTCCACACTTCACCAAATTCACCTTCGTCGAGCTTTTCCTCTATAAAATTAAGAAGTTTGAAAATGACTGTACTGTACATAGAAGGACCTACATTCACAAATCAATCATTCTTGTCTTTAAAAAACAGTGCAATTCTCACCGATTTCTATGTCCTTTGCCGGCACGATCAGTCTAGCAGCACAAGATGGCATTTGCCAAGATGCATACAGACTGTTGATGTCCCCTCTCCTCAAATACTCACGATCAAACTGGCGTACATGAGCAGGCTGCATTCTTGCCACTCCTACGTATCCTTTGCGTTGCATCATTTTGTAGCAGCATACAGCACTAACAGCACATACAGCTACCATAATTACTGCAGCTACTGCCCAGATTTTCCACTGCGAATCAGCATCGATGAAATCGACACCACTAGCAAAGCCCGAATGAGACCTCGTTGTTGTCGCGGGAAAAACGTCGTCCAGTTGGCGAACAACGAGGTAATCGATTGCAAGGTCCGCTTGAGCTTTTACCGGGTGTAATTGGGGGAAAATAACCATTTCAAATAAAATCTGCATATTTGCAGACGGGATCATGCTGGGCTTAAGCAGTTGTAGAATTTGAATTTCGTCAATATACCAAATAATCGTACCCCTTCTCCAGGCCATCGTAAAGATATGGAACTCCCCATCCCACACACTGGTGTTTAAAATGTTTATCCAAGTTTTTTCTTTACCCTCGCCATAATTTACTCCAATGTCGACCCGAGATGGTTCCATGCTTCGAAGGTCTGCTACGGTGATGGCTTGGTTTTGACATGCTGATGATGGTGCAATGAATGAACATCGGGAATCAATTAAGCGAAGCATCGCAACCGCCGAAATATTCTCGTTCGCTAGTAGTTTGGCTCGTATCTCGGTTTCCCCATAGGCGAAATTCATATACGGGCCCGAGCTAATATGACCAACATGATAGTTTGTGTGAGTCGTGTTCTGCGGTTCAGTTCGTGCAGCCACATGAAGAACACCGTTGGTAATCTGTATATTAGCAGAATTAGTATAAAGCGTTTCCTGCTTCCTTCTTTTAATGCTGTTTCCCATCTCCCATCTTTTGCTCCATTCGCTATCTTTAAAATCTTCGTAATATGGCGCCGAAAGATCTACGTTAAATAAGTAGGCAGTAAGTTTACAACAACAACGCGAACTGGCTATGCTACGAGCCTACGAGTATAGTATATAGGTGCATATAGTAAGTTACTTAAATAATGATTGTTAGTGCGAATAATGTGCAACATCTCGCTAGTACGACTGTTGTCATACAGAATTTAATTCTGCGTTTACCGAAACTAATATCTGACCGCGACTGACCGTATCTGTACGTCGTTTAAACGCAAACAGTTGACCAAAAGCCAAGAACGATTATCATACAGTACTGACATATCCCTATATATTCAAAATTTAAGGAGGATCGGTACATAATTAAATTTTTGATACATCTGATGCGTTTGACAATTAAAACGTTATATGGAAGTTCTTTACAGCCATTCCTATAGCAACCATTCGGCAACATCACGTTATAAAACAAAAATGCAAAAAGGTGCTTAGGAGCAATGCAAAAAGGTGCTTAGGTGCAATGCAAAAAGGTGCTTAGGAGTGCGCGAAAGCTCAGTTTTTCGTTCATGTACAGAGTACAAGAATTTGGTACCATGCACTGGTATCATGTTTCTGAATCGCTGTTCTGCTTCCGTTTCTTAGCTTCCTGACACCGACGCAACGCAAATCTAGTAGTAAATAGCACCTTCAAATGTCTGTTACGTACTCAAACAGATTCGCTCGTTAAATCCCGTGGCTGGATTCATCCAACGGACAGCGGACTGGTTAAGCGGTTTGCTTGGACAGGTCAGGCGATCACGATCACCGGATTCGCAGGCTAAATTGCGTCTCACCTGCCCTTTCAGTGCGTGACTCCACACCCACAGTGCTCGTTTACCAGTGCGAACTCTGTCTGAATACAATTTTACATGTTAAAATTGCTTTCAAGTAGTAAAAACGTACCAGCTCTCACTTCATTACCAATTGCTATTGTATAGTCGAATTGTACAAAGTCGGTTTCTGGATCGAGGTCGCCGTTTCTCACTAATCTTAGGATGAAAGTGACATTGTGGCGGAATTTCTCTGTCTCGAATTGGTCGACGCTGATTTTATCGGTTCTTTGTGGTAATTCCGATAAACCGCTGGGGAATGGGCGAAGAATTTTCAGTAAAGCCATAGTCCCGTTTGGGCTTTGCTGGTACACTTGAAGCTCATCTTGTTTAGGCATGTGCAACTTTCTACAAGGTTCAAATTGTATGTTTGTTTGTTTGTTTAATCGGCTTAACGTCTAAACCTATCACGTACAACCGGCACGAGGTTGTAGACAAAACGTTCAAGATTAGCTGTCACAGCGAAGGACTCAATGATTACCGTGAAGGTGGCAGTTTTAAAATATGTGACTAGAAAGTTGTCCACAAGTGGTGGTTGAAAACTAGAATTGATGTTGCAACCAGTTCTTCAATATTTTGGCGTTATTAAAATAAAAGAGTAGAAGCAGAATGAGCAAGCACCTAATTGCTTTATTCATCCTTCTACGGGTAGTCTTACCTGACATTCACATACGCGCTGTATTTCCTGTTGTCTGCCGACAGCGACGGCACGGCGATTGTAATCGTTACTGTGCAGCTCTGTTGCGGGTAAGCTTGAAACATCATTGTGCCGCCGTAATTTTCATTATGGATTACGAGTGAACTCTTGTTACAGTACTCCTCCAGACGAATATCGTCCTCATCTAAAAACTGGGTCTTGAGCAAACGCCTTTTACATCACACTCACAGTAAATTTTGACTGTTGTTTAGCTGCTCGGCTTTGTCTTCCCTATCTCTCCTCACGACAGCATGACTGAGTTAGGACATCAACAATATTTTGTTTTACAACCAATTGAACCATTCCTGTCTTAAATATTGGTCTAAGCCATTGAACCGCTAATGCCGTTACTCAGACATTCTATGGTTCTTCCCCGTTAAATTTACTTACACTTACTTTGTCTGTGGCCAACAGCTACATGCATCACATTTTAGTTTCTTTGGGCAATTACACCGAAAAGTTTACGCACTTTGAGCAATAGTGAGTCAGTACCTGTTATATCAGCACTAACGGCCGACGTTAGCAGTTGGAAATTTATGGACATCGCCAAATAAAGCAGGAATTTCATGGGCTTCATCTGAAATAGCAAAACTTGTCGCTGGAAAGTGAAATTACTGACAATCCAGAGATTTGGCAACGAACATTGAAAAAAAGTAACAGTGGTTACGTGCTGCTTCCAACCGAAATACGTTAGGTTTTTTCGCACCCGCGGTACCCTACATTATACTAGAACTTCTTATGCTAAAATTAAAGCGACCTACTACTGCGAATGTCTGCTAATGAAAACGCTCAAGTGCTGACTGTGTTGTGTGTATCTGCACATCAACTGCATGCTGTACCATGGAGCCCATCCTGTTTCGGTGTGGAGTGTACAGACTACATACGTAGTACTATAATCCGATGGACGATCTTTACAGATAGAAATCGCCCAAGCATTTTTCAGTGTTGCTCATTATACGGTATGTATGTGTCTGTAGCTGGAATTTTAACTTGCTTCTTGTTGTTCCCCAAATAATAATCATAATCAACAACAGCGGACAGGAGTCGCGCTGATTCTTTTAATTATACAAAGACTTTTAGTAGTAAAGACTTTACGACTTAGGCTGACTCTACCTAAATTTGTATTAATCGAAAATAAAAGGACTGTAATTGTGTACTGATATTCGGACGTTGCGGGAACAGTTCAGTTAAGGGCCATTATCTGCTTTTATGTTTCAAAGGATAATGCAAAACAAACCATGACCATTCACGCTGAATTTATTACAGCTTGAGCATAGTGATTCCATTTTGAATTGTTATTACAATCAAACGGAGTGTTTTTACGACTGCCAGTGCATACAGCGAACGTTGCGCGAAATCCAGAGCGAAAATTTCTACAAAGTAAAAACAGCAGCACGGGACTCACTAAAGAATTCAGAAACGCCAAAAGGTCAATGGAGCGGCGGAATACATAATACGGCACCTTCTTGTAACTAGCCGGCAACAGTTGACCTTCCTGCATTGCATCGAGCAAAAGGTCACTATCCCACGTCGCGTAGCCAAAAGCCGAAATAAATTGCTCGAAAGCGTGCGGTCCCCACGGAATAAGGAAAGCAATCATAACGAATAAAAACATCCGAATACTGCGGTATTCTTTGGTCGATAGAACTTTGATTACTCCAGCAAACCATCTAAGGTTTAACTTCAAAGTGCTGGGCGCTTCGCGGCTAAGACGATTCGATAGATCAGAGTGTATGCGCGCCCGTAATTCGCCTGATTTTTTTAATCGCCGAAACGCAATAACCAGGATGCGGCTGTACGCAAAGATCATGATTCCCATCGGAACAAAATATTGGAGGAACGATTCGGTGATCAGGGAAGCGGAATTAAAGCAGGTCAAACACTGACACGGTTGGCGATTGTAGAGGGCGCAAGTGTCGTTCATATTCCCGGATAAAGTATCTTCGTCGTACGGATAAAATCCGAGAAAATACGGGAACGATATACGGAAATACGTGGGTATTGTTGGATAGGCCCAGCACGCTAGGATAATCCATCTAAACCGCTCTTTAAAGCAGATCTTGTACAGTTTACTGCCGTTATGAAATAGACGGCAGTAGCGTTCCACCGCAATGGTCATCATGTGGACGACGCTCACAGCGATGAAATATTCTTTGGTTGCGTAATAAAAGACGCAAGCAGTATGCGAGAACGGCCAACACCAGTCGGTGATCCATAAGGTTATCTGGGTGGGAATGACGAAGAGTCCCACATGCGCATCCGCGACAGCGTTTAACACCAGTAAAATGTTGACGCTGGATCGCAGTCGGTGGTGGGGGAGAACCGAAAAGATGAAGCAGAGATTGGAGATTACAGTTAAAAATGCCAATGTAAAGACAAAGATGACTAAGGATGTTTCCTCTGTTGTAAGGAGAATTCCAGCTAAGCAGTTGCAGGGTACAGCTTCGACGGTGCGGTTGCGATGCATTTTCGACAGTGTGTATACATTGCTAGTGCACTATACAATACAATTGTATATACAGAGTATAAACGCATATCACGAAATTGCAGTACTGTAAAACTGCAGATTCTGTTTGTATTGCGACCGCCGAAATTAAAGGTGTCACACAGTGATTCCGTCACGGCACTCACGAGTAATCTGGTTTGCCATTACTGTTAGTACACATGGTAAACACTCGATTGATACCTAATACGGAATGTCTCATGTAAACGTAAACCTAGAAAAAACTGATAAGACTACGTGTTTGCTTTACAAAGATAAGTACTGCATATATCTATAGTGTATCCGTGTACATCATATTGGAAGCAAACACGGTTAATCTTATGAGGATTGTCGCTTTAACTGTTGTCGGAGCAGAAGCTCTTCCTACTGGTAAGTGGTAGGTATCCAAATATTTGTTCTGACACAGTCATGCTTTTGTGCCTTTTCTTATATTTACTTCGGTTATTTATGTCCTTGTACATTTAGCTTATACACAACAGTTAACATCACTACGCAATACACTCAATCAGCAGAAAACAGCCTCGGGAGGTCTAAGAACAGAGAACAACTGATCTAAATTTGCTCCCGGTGGAGCTGTTCCCTGGACGGAGGCCGCGTTCCCGCGCTGGATTTCTACGCTGATACGCTGGCGCAGGTATTCCGGTGCTCTTGCCTCGCCAGTTTCTTGCCGCACCCTTCTACCCACTTCCGTGAGCAGACGGGAAGCTTCCGGTCCGTTTGGTCCTAGCGTTTCAAAGCCCAAAGCGCTGAACAGGTAGTCCGGGGTGATGTTCTGGTACTTGGTTGCCTTATCCTGTTCAGCCTTTGCCGCCGCTGCTCCAGCTCGCTCGGATGTTGCCACGATATGCGATAATGCCACCGTACAGACGCAGGTGACATCCCACGTCAGCATTCTTCCTCTTTCCCACGGTGCTAACGTAACGCCATCCGGGCGTTGGCCATTCGTTCGACATAAGCCCACTGGTTCAAGCTCTGTTTCAATTCCGGCTGATGCGAATGCTCGTTTCCAGACAGCATTCAAGCTGCTGTGTCTGGGCTTCCTGCCTCGACTTTTCTTGCAGCTTAGGCCATGGTAGCCTCGGGCGTCCACCCAGTCCCCGCAGATGCAACGGTGCGGAGTGACGATAGCTGCTCCAAGGCGTAGCCCAACAGCGATTCTCAGGGCAGAATCTGTCAGTAGGTATCCAAGTGATGCTGCCGGTAACGCCTCTAGCCAAGCCCCATTCTCTTTTGTTCTGACGCCGCGCAGCCGAGCTTGACTGGATAGGTCATCCTGGGCTTCAACCCGCAACATTTCCACAGCTTCCGCGATTAGAGGTTCATCCCACACTTTCTGTAGGTTGCGAATACTGACATCCGGCGTATCCCTTTTTGTAATTGCCTGCCATTGTTCTACTGCCGCGCTACAGTACTCATCAGGGTGAAAGTCCGAAGTCTCGGATGCCAGCGTCGCGATTGAGTAAGCCGAGGCCAAAAGGGCTAGCTTCTCAATGCTGCGAATTCCAAGACCGCCCTCGGAGATCGGCAGGGATGCCTGCGTCCACATTTGGTCCGTGATGGCAACGTTTGTAATCGTGCAAAGGCTTTCCCGGATTACCGCGTCGAATGCTTGCAAAAGGCCGCTATGCATGTAGCATCGACCCGTATGTAGTTTATACGTCATTCTGACTGGTCCCATGCTGCATCTTAAGAGATACAACGCCTGGTGTGCTGGTATCATTTGCAAGCGCTGCTTCATCTTTTCTGCAACCTCTGTCGCATTAACAATAGCTCCCGCCGTAGCATCGTCGTGTAGCGGTGCACCCAGATAGTGTAGCTCGTGTAATTTGGGACACTGTAGATCAGGAAACACATCAAGGAATGCAGCTGTACTTAGACTTTAGATTCTTGTGTGGTTTTACCGTGGACAGGCAGTACAGTAGCGGGCCGAGCGGGTCTCCTTGCTGGATGCCCGCCCTGGAAAGGATTTGATGGGATCCGTGCAACAACACTGAGGGGGTTCCATAGCACTGCCACACGAAGTGGTAATACGCAGGCATATGTTCTTCCGCAGCTTTTAAAATGCAATTTCGATCGAGGGAGTTGAATGCGTTTTTCACGTCCAGCTTTAGAAAGACTTGTGGGGATTCCATTTGAAGAGCGTGCTCGATAAAATACCGACGCCGCCTTTTGTCGCAAATCCTAACTGCACGGGCCGTAGCACGTCATTCAAATGGGTACATCTGTATGACACGATGCGGCATACTATTCGCCGAAGACAAAATCCGACAGCTATAGGCCTGATGCCACCGTCCTTTTTCTTGAAGGCAAAGAGGCTGGCACCATAGAAGACATCTGCAGTTTCCTGGGGAACTTTTCCCTTCAGCATGATGTTCGCAACGGCAGCTAATAAATCGGTAAGCTTTTTGGATTGTTCGTTGTGCTTCATACCGATTAACTCTTTAAGGTATTGTGGCCTCAGTCCATCGGGACCTGCAGCAGAGCCGTTGGGGAAGGCACGGATGGCTTCGCATATCTCGGTATGGGTAACTTCCGGGGGCAATTTACTAAGAGTGGTAGAGTACCAATCTGTAAATTGTCACACGCCATCAGTCAACAATCTACAAGAAAACAGGAAATTGTTGTGTTTACCATACGAACTCTGTATCTGCAGATGTAGTGGTGGTAAATTATCGAGTCCAATATCAGGTCTTATTTTGTGCAGCGTCAGTGGTCACACATGTTTTATGATCGACATAAAAAACGATGGTATATATTGAACGGCAAAATGACGGTTATATGTCCAGTCATCAGCCTTTAACCCACAAGTAAATCATCAAGGTAAATTTTATGTCAGTACAAGTCAATGAAGTCATGCTTCGTTGGGCGGTGCCGCGGTTTTATACTAACAGACGCACAGCTCAGGCCAAAAGCTTCTTTTTGACCTGACAGACTGTATTATAGAAGAAGTATGGAAGGTAAAAGTGCATGTGTAACAATTTCTGACATCCCTTAAAATACTGTCGCTCTTCTTGACGTGTACATTATTTAAATTCTAAAGTGTGCATGGCCGAAGCATCCAGAAGCAAAAATTCGGATATCTAAAGCCGGCTTAAGGTCTCCGGGTTCTTAAATAAAGCTCTGGCCGCTGTCCAGCAATTTTTCAGTAGCGTCTGCAGACCGGTCGTCGTGGAACGGTGTCATTGGCCACACACGATAATAAAAACTTTTGATTATTAATAGCGCTATAACGCCGTAAAATAGGTAATAAAGGTATTACAAGCCAGCGACAACTCACTATGCTGTTGTCTCTGCAGCAGACGCTTTGCCATTTGCTCTGCCACCACCGCACCGGCTTTCATCCGCATCCGAACTTTTCCGGAGAATATCACACACGCAGCCGTAATTCACTTTAGCCAAACCGTAGTTCTGCGACCAAAATATCATTTATTATACTTTATCCATCATGTGGGGCATTCTGATGCTGTTATTCTGCGGGGCGGCATTTGCTCAGAATTACGACTACTCGGCGCCAGCCCCATTACCATCATCCGAATCGCCCTCACCAGCTCCGACCCCGATGCCACCTCCAGCACCAACACCAACGGAACCTCCGGCATCCCCATCACCGACGCCCGAGTTCACCACAACCACAGCGACACCGGCGCCCACTCCAGCGCCTACTCCCGCTCCAACGCCCGCTCCAATACCCGCTCCAACACCCGCTCCCACACCCGCCCCAACACCAGCCCCGACGCCCAGCCCGACACCGGCTCCAACGCCCGAATCTACCACCACCACCACACCGGCTTCCACAACCACCACCACAACTACTCCGGAGCCTACCACCACAACAACGACACCCGCACCGACTACAACAACCACGACACCCACAACGACGACCACCACCACGTCGACGACTACCACAACACCGACCACCACCACGACGCCAACAACCACGACGACGACAACAACACCCACGACCACCACCACGACCACAACTCCGACTCCCGCGACGACACTACAGCAAGCGTCCGGTGCCCTCCCACCGTGCGGCACCGCCGGAATCTCTTGCCATGTACTGCAGGCAACGGCCTGTGCCGAAAGCGGTGACCAAAAGTGTGAATATTTGGCCAAGATCGGTCAGAATCCTTCCGACTCCGGCTCGGTCCAGATTGAACTGGCCGCTACGGGAGGTGGGACGGAGCTCAATCTGGATGTCGGTACTAATCGGTGGATCGGCGTCGGGTTTTCTCTGGTAAGCGCAGAAACTAATTTCTTCCGGCTATAACAAACTCATATATAATAAAAATAGTGTAAAAAATAAACTTTATATACTTCTGTATAATGTATAATAAAAAATATTAATACAAAAAGTAAAAACAAAACAATGTATTTTGTTTAGAATATTTTATAAAAACGATGTGCACATAATACATTATACAGAAGTAAAGCTCCCGCTGTTTTTTAACAAAATACGATAAGAAAACTTGGTTTTTAAAGCACGAATTGATTGTAGACCGGACAGATGCCGAACTCAGCCGTGTTCCACTGCTTCCACGACACCAACGGAACAATTCAAGGCAAACTGACGTACAACGTACCCATTGCGCATTTCAATATGGGCTGGGTCGGCGTCGATGTAAACAATCAGTCTTGTCACTCATGACCTTTCGATATTTCCTTTCGATATTATTCTGAATAATCCGGTTGATTTCCAGCAAGCGCCGCTAACCGTGCAGAGCGCCCAATTTGCCAACAATGAAATGCGCTGCGTGGCTATTTTGAAGAAACAATTCGGCATCAGTGGACAGGCGTTTGACCTGACGCAGACGGTCACCCTGATTGGAGCCAATGGACCGCTGATACAAAGTGAGTTTCGTTGGTGAAGTCAATAAAAGACCGTCTCGGTTAAAAGTGCTTTTCGATTTCTGTCCAGATACCATCGCGCAACACGACAGAGCGCACGTTCCCGGTGCTAAAGTCAGCTTCCCGTGATCTGGCATTCCGGCTAATGACCTGCATACCGCTTTATATGTCTGTCAAAAACTAAGGACGGTGCAGTTTGTATTATGGTTTTAATACAATGCCAATTACCTCATTGCGCACATTTAAATTAAATTGTCACACTTTTTAACTAATTTTTCAGCGGCTAAAAACCAGCCTTAACGGTGCCTCCCGAACCCAACTTACAAAAGTGATTTTAACGGAAGGATGACTTTATTGATGCCGATAAAGAAGCGCGTTTTAAGGCGTTGTTATTATCATATTTGTACATGTGCACATCGTTTCACTCTTGCGTAAAGGTGCCAAAAAACGCCATGTACTGAATGTGCTCTGTAAGAACACACAATATAAAAATATAAGAGGCTTTTATGGTTGTCGCGCTAGATCTTTTACCGCGCCATAATAATCGCTCTTTTCTTTTGCGGTCCTTGGCTTTTATGATCGGATACGCAAACAACTATACCATTCGAAAACGTCTCATGGTTTTACGTAGCATTAAGTGCCGATGCACTGGCTAACGCTTTAATAATGATTTCAGTCAAGCATTTTACAAGCTCTTTATGCGGAAATCCACGGTTGCCGGGAACGGTTTTTGCGCTTCCGTTTCCATCAGCTGCTCCATAATGCAGTCATACATTTTGCCGCCGGTTTTGCTAATCTTGACAGCCAACGTGGCTGCTGCCCAAAACACCGGGTGCGGGTCATCTTTGAGCAGCGTTAGTCAAACATGTCAGAACAGCGGCTCGGTGTGCCACAGTCTCCAGGCACAGTGCTGGCAAGCGGCTTCATGCGAATTCTTAGCCAGCATCGCCACAGCGAATGATGCGGTGACTGTTGACCTTCTTGCTGCGGCCAATGGCAATCAGCTGCAATTAAATCTAACGGGCAACCGGTGGATCGGTGTGGGATTCTCCATGGTACGGTCTTCTTCACATTTTACACAACTGCTTTATTCGAGTTTTGTGCATAAATTTATAACGCGGATTAAGCAGCGGAGGGAGTGGATTTGTGGGAGGAACGTTCTTTAGTATTGTAAATTATGTGATGATCGAAATCAGGTGATTAATTTTGTTGATTGGCAGAGTGGAGGCATGGCTAATTCAGCGGTGGTGCATTGCTTTCATGACGCCAACGACACCGTGCAAGCCAAACTGACATACAACATTCCCAACGCTCATTTTAATATTGGATGGCAGAATGTCGATGTAAGAATCACGCGTCGGTAATGGCACGCACGGTACACAGTCCAGCCGGAAAGTGCTTTTCTAACCCGCTATAGCCTTGTATTAATTTTAGGCTTGCCGGCGCTTAGTTTGGCAATCTTGTCGCATTTGTGTATTTTATAGCAAGCCCCGCTAAATGTCCAATCGGCTTCCTACGTGAACAACGAACTCCACTGCGTCGTCAAGCTGCAGAAAAAATTCACTATCCAAAGTCAAGCGTTTGACCTTAACCAGCCGGTGACTTTAATTGCCGCCACCGGCCCTTTACGAAACAGTAAGCGCTGTTGAAAGGTTTCCGTGTTTATCTGTTGCCACTAATCAGAGTCATGCTAACCCTGTAGATACTATTGCCATGCATGATCGGGATCCAGCCATATCGAAACAGAAAGCCAGTTTCTAATAACTGCATCCGGAAGCAGTTCCACTCGACAGCCAGTTAATTAAAGCACAAGACCACCCGCCTGCGGCTTTTGGCGTGGACAGTGTCTGCTAGCTATTTGCTCTGGTTTTTTTTTGCGGTTGCTGTCTGCATTACAGATCTACCGACTCCGTTTTCGCTCAGCTTATAATGGTTTGACTGTATCTTGACTGTGTAAAGACGAGCGCATACGGAAAAGCTCTTGTGTAAAATAATAGTAGCGGTTATCTATTACTTCGTACTCTTGCAATGAATTATACAATTGAATTATACAATGTTTAAAGTATCGGATCACTATCAGTCATGCAATAATATTTGGTGAAGGCTCCGCATACCACCTTTTACCACCTTTGGCTCCTAGTACCACCTTTCATACCACCTTTGGCTCCTAATACTACCTTTTGCACACCACTTTTGACTCCGCATACAACCATTTAATTATTTCTTTGCAGCTGTATTATTATGAATTAATAAGGATATCTGGAAAAACCGAATGCAGCCGCGTCCAAATCGACGCGCTTGCTTCATATACATATAAGATATGCTGCATGGAGGTTATAAAACTAAATCCTGATCTTTTCACAATATTATACTAGCCATTTTCGGATACCGTGTTCGATGTATGATGTTCGCAACGTAACGTTTTGTGCGGACATTACTGACACACGCTTCCATACGAACAGTACGAATACAAACAGCACATACAAACAGTACTTCCGATGTGTGTTCGTACTGTTTTTCCATGGCGTCGGTTGCGATACTGAATGCCTTCAACTTGCTAGTTGCTACATATATATCTTTTTCCAGTCGGTACATGGAAAGATTTGGATCTCGTTTCTGGAGGTTAAAAAATTAAACTAAATTAAAAATTAAATTTTAAAAAATTAAATGGTGGTATGCGGAGTCAAAAGTGGTGCGCAAAAGGTGGTATGAAAGGTGGTACTAGGAGCCAACGGTGGTATAAAGGTGGTATGCGGAGCCTTCACCATAATATTTTGCATAACAAGGGAAATCGTAGAACAGTGGAAACCAGAAGCTTCTTTGCGAGATATTCTTAATGGTTTGCTTAGGGTATTAATCTTTACAAAATCGTACAAGGAATCAATTAAAATAAACAGTTTTTACTTCAAGCGGATGGTCTGCTTTTTAACGGAAAACAGGCACCTGCCTGTCAGATATGACACAGAAGCAGAGAGCAAAATGGGAGCAAATATCCTCCTTTATTGTGTAACAATAAAGCAACCAACAAAAACAACACAGAAAAACCCGATGTGGTAAAAGCTGTGGTGAAAGTGGCTGCCAGCGAGCTCGGTGGAAATCGTGATAATCCCGCGGCATGCAGCAGCTGAATCACAGCTGGTACCGCAAAGCATGGAATCGCTCGTAAGCGCTGGGCCACACCTCCAAAGTGCATAGCGAACGCTGATTGGTCAGCGTAGACAAAGTATACGCTGAGTTATCAGCGTATATGAGCGGCACGGATGGCGTGGCCATACGCGTGCGGGCGACAGAGCAAGCCACAAGAGGTGTCTACCGCCTCGAGTGAGCGGTCTCTGACATGCCTGATTATGAATATGGTTTTTACGGCATACGAAGCTTGGCGAAAAAAGGTCATCCGGATGAGAAATTAGCAAACTGTACTTGTGTTCGAGTTTATAATGGAGATACCTGGTATTTTTAAAAATATACACGTGATACCGGTTTACACGTTATCAGTTACTAACTGTTAGAAATATTTTCGGGTCTGAACTCAGAACAGCCGGGTACAGCGCGCACACCACCGGATAAAAACAAGATTACAACTCCAAACTGCAGGCGAAAATCGGGGATTAACTCAATTTAACTGGATAAGCAGGAACTTTGCGAAATAATAATTCTAAACTTTGAACCACAAATCAAGCCAGCGCTCAACAAAAAGATAATAACAGGGAGAAGGGGCACACACCACAGTCTATAACACACCGCCGACGGGGGAAGAAAAGATCCATTTGAAAAGCATGGCGCGCGCGTCACAAAACAACATAAAATCTCTCTGCAATCTCTCTTTCATTCGTCTCAGATATCGGCGGATCCACGACGCCACTGCGAATAGGAGGTAGCCGCCGGCGGAGGCGGGGAGGCGACGTAGATATATAATTATTATGTAATACGTAATTCTGCAGGCGAACTGTCCGTACACTGTATGGGTCCGCATAAAGAGGCGTTCTGTGAGCTGTATGACCACCGGGACGGAACGTACACACTGCGAATCAAACCAGCCGAAGCCGGTCAACATTTGCTCACCATCAATACAACGGAGAACACGTGCCCGGTACGCTGTAAACGACGAATTCCGTCGTCTGACTTATGTATATTGCGAATTGTTGTGATAATTAACTGTGGCTAACTGCAAGAAGTCCGTTTGCCATTAAAATCGCCGGTACACCCGATCCCAGCAAGGTGCGCGTGTACGGCCCGGGTGTAAGTCACGGTGTGCAGGCCAGTTATCATTTCGGACGTACCTGGTCCAGCGCGGCGCGTATCGATCATACTCTTGATATCCTTGCCGATCATTCCGCTCTTGATATCTCCACTGACCACCACCTTACTGGCATCCCCGGCGGACGCCACCGTCAGTTTGTACGGGCACCCTTTGACCGTGTCCCCGCTCCATTTGACGTTGAGAACGTAGGAGCCGCTGTGCTGCGCCGTGTACGTCGCCTTGTACACGCTGCTGCCCAGATGCTGCAGGGTTACCGGGATGTCGGCTTTGATGCCGCTGATGTGGACTTCCGGCTCGCCGGGTCCGGCCTCCGAGCCGTCGATGATGAACTCGGCTTCCTCGCGCACTTTGGCCTCGGTCAGGCCGCGACCGCGCAACCGCACGCGGCCGGCGTCGATGGGGATGAGGGCCGGTTCGGCCCAGCCCGGGAACGGAGAGTGCGGGATGGGCTGCTCCGACCACCACACGTGGATATCGTGATGACCTGTAGCATGACAATGGTACTTCACAAAAATTCACGTATTTTAATTTAAATGTAGATTTTGTTATTTTCCCCGTATTGTATTTTCTTTGTGAGTTCCAGTACCTAATGATATTATCACGTGACTACAGAGCAAAAATAAGTACTTTGCGATACAAATGTAGTATAACGGCTAATTGTGGCTAACCCCATTCCCAACTGTCTATTCTCGCTTAATATGTAAAGCGCAAGAAACAATCAAACGGTATAATTTAATTTTTTTCTTAAAGCTATTACTACCGGCTAGAATTGCTAAATATTCAGTCAACGCTGTCCCAAGCATGGAACAGGCAAAGACACAATAAAGATCCGTACTCGAGCTCCGTTATGGATTTATCCGAACATTTAAGTCAAATGTCTATCCTAAATTAAAGCAGTAAATTCTTACAGCAAATCTTTGGGCCAGTAGGTAACAGTAAAAACGCTAATATTTCTGAACTATTTGATTTACAATGAATCTTATAAATATTTAATAAACGAGCTAACTAATGCAATTGATGCGGCGTACGTCAGACTATAGTAATTTATACTGCAATAATTCATAATACCGCAGTTAAAATAGCCGTTAAAATAATTGCTCATTTACTAATCATATCAACTGATTTTGTTAATTTCGTTCTTTTTCAATACTTTTAGTCATTGTCGTTGTGCTTACCTTCGGCAATCGCGGTGAAGCTGACTTTGACCCGGTCCTTGCCCACGTTCTCCACCTTGACGGGGATCAGTCCACTGGGTCCGCGGACTTCCGCCGACAGTTTCCCGCGATTGGCTTCCGACGTTTCGAACGTGATATTTTTCTCGTTGCAAGGACAATAAATTTTCATTATTACAAGACGCACAAGAGAACATCAGAAAACAAAAAAACACCCAAAATGCCAAGGAACAGAAGAAAATATCCCTAAAAAGGATAAGGGACCTAGAAACCAGACCGAAAACAAGGGATCGGTAAAAAATAATTCCTGGAAAACGTCGGGCAATAAAATCGTCGAAAAGCGAAATGCCGGTCAGTACTCTGTCGGTCAGCAGTTTGTGTTATTCACATGTTAGCAGGTAGCAGTATACCGGTCAGCAAATTGTTTGGAAGGAAAACGGAGGTTAAAGATTTGACGTGCTCCCCAAGTTTACAAGGTCATTCTTCAGTACTGATGGAGAAGATTTTTTTCAGAGCGGCTGTCCAAGTACCACATCAATGCAAACAAAGTTAAGTTTCGCAGGGAATGGCATGGTACCTGAGCTAACGGGTCATCCATTTTGCCAGTGAATCGTGCATCTCCTGCTTGCCACTGCGTCAGTAATTGTATCAAGATCCTTTTTGGTACAGGATGAGCGTCTAGTTGGCTTTGCAACGTTCGAATGCCTTCGTCGGTCATCGGTTGACAATTATTTTCCAGAAACTGCCTTGCAGATTGCATTTGCTCGTTTTGATTTGTGTTGATGACACACTTGCTTAAAAAAATGTTAGTACGTAAGTCCAGATATTGCGGTGTCCAAAACCTGCGGTAATAAGGCCCAACAAAAGCTGGAGCGGGAAGAGTGCCAGCCACTACCCGATAGTATAATTGTTTTTGTAAATCGGTTAATATTTTCGTCAAAAGCTAAAGCCAGCTGGTCATTCCCATATTTCTGCAGATTAAATTCCATCCGCAAACCAGCGGGAGCGGTTGTTAAAATGATGCGCCAGAATTTACACACTTTACGACAATTCAGTTCGTCCTGAAATTCCAGAAAGGAAAATATCCGATGGAAGACTTCCACTGGAATACAAGTATTTATACACGGTTGATGCTGATACAGTGTTGTGGATATGGTAGCCTAATAAAAATAAAAAGATAAAAACGATCATTTCATCCGATCGATTTTTTACTGAAGTATGGTAGGACACTGGGCATATACAGCGCTGCCGGGCCAAGCAGGGCCAAGCTGCGACACCAATCAGAGCTGCTTGTAGGAAGTCGAACTGTTGGCCAGCAAACTCTCGGTCAGCAGGTTTATTGATCAGCAATATATCAGTCATTAAACTGTCGGGAAGCAAAATGAAGGTCATGGGTCAGGTCAAGCAAAATGGACATGCTACGGGCAGAGACGGGTATACATAAGCCCCTTAAAAATGACCGCCACCCCATCTCCTTAATCACTCCCTGACCCTTGCTGATATAAATAAAGATAAAAAGATTTGTTGCTAATGAACCCGGCAGTGACCTGACATGTGAGTTACCCGAGGAAAGCTTTGAAAACAACCGAAAGGGCATAGAAAATACGTCCATTTCATTTTACGCAACTATGTACTGCGTCCTAACTTGGCCCGGCAGGGCTATAGTCTGTAGCGCAGGCCATTTATGATTTAGTAAACAAGTACTATCAGTTTTTGTAGTATGCGCGCATTTCTACATATCCGATTCTACCTCGTAAATACCCGAAATGCCCGATTCCGATAGTATTTTGATTACTAAAATGTGACTTCTTACCAGAAAGGATTTGAAAGCAATGGGCTTGTCGCGTTCTCTTTCTAAATACCTCTTCCCATTACGCAGTTCATAGGTTGTTGTCCGTTTAGCCATTATCCGAAATACTTCGACCTTATAAAACAAAATTTAAAGCGTCTGCAGTGTGCATCGGCATCGTATTTTAAAGCTAACGTCAGAATTATATAGCACGTGCGACGTGAAATTTGGCCGACCAATGTTTCGTGCCGCAATGGGTGTACTGATTCAAATACAATGGGTGGATGCTTCTGCGATCTCGTTTTTGATTTTTGCGTTACTTACCGTAGTACAAATGACTTATTGTGCTTGAATTGTTACAGACTATAGCTGCCCATAATTGTGGCAACTTATCTTGAACGTGTGTCTACAATCTCATGCAGACTACGCCTGATTGTTGTAGGCGTTAAGCCCATTAAACAAACAATCAAACCAAAGTTACCAAACCACGTTTACCCTGCCTTGCGTTTACCCAGCGTAGCTGTACCTTAGTACAGCTACGTTTTTTGGTAGATAGGTATACTTCATGGTTCAAGCTGTTCAGCAAACTGGTCACCGTTTATTATATCGACAGCACCGTAGTACCATAGAGGCTGGTTACGGATAGAACCGAACATGGAAGCTGAACATGGTGCATGCGGTTTGATCACTGTTTATGCATTGTTATTTGCGGTTCTTATAAGTTTCTTAGGCTTGTTAGCTTAATTAAGGGATTTGGCCCGGTACATACCACCAAATTCGTGCACATTCACGGGAGCTTTCGCTGTCGCGCATTCCCAAATGCTGTTTTGCATTGCTTTATGACATTGTTTAGCCAGATGATTTGTGTACATGGGCGTAAAAACCGTTTGTGCACGTAACAGGTTCGTGAGTTATGGCTGCAAGAAAATATTCCAAAATTTTTAAATGCATCGAGGTGTACCAAAAGTTACGTTATAAACCGATCTTTCAGTTTTGCACGCTGCAGCGGTGAAATTATATCTCGATTGCATCCAGGCGTGTTTTGCCAGCTTCCTCCTTTCCGCTTGCTCGGCTGCAGCACCAACGTTAGCATAGGTGCGCTCAGTATACGAAGATGTATCAACGCACGTCACATCCACTGCTAGCGGTTTTCCTCGTTCCCACAGTTCGAAAGTTACGGCCCATGGAGTGACCGGACTAAACACCTAGTGCACAAGGTCGGGAACGGTATGGCCACTGCTACGAAGCAAAGAAGAAAGTTGGCGAGACGATCTTTGCTTGGAAACTTAATAAATTGTGGACATTTTTTGTTGATTCTGTTTCTTCTGATTTGTTCGATATTCGTACTATTGGTGCTTTTAAGCAAGCTTTGAACCGTGTCGATTTTGTTTAAGGAATCTTTTCTGTCTATCTGCACTCGTACTTTTCGAATTTGCTATTTGGCCAGGTTTAAAACCCCAGCTAGAATGTCACCCTAGCCGGAAATGGGCTACCTGCTCCACGATGAATAATAATAAAATAATAATAATACAGGCCAGAAACGGGCGAAAGAGTTTTTTAGACAGTGGTTATCTATCCAAATGCAACGGGGAAACGCGATATGTGTTATGGGTACAATCCCCGAGCAGGATAGCATTGCAGAAGTGTTTTCGTTATAAATCTTGCCTTTTTAGTACTCAGTTTGTACTTACATGACGATACTTATTAAAGACAGATAGGGTAGCCCCATTGTTAAAACAAATTTTGCTCGTAAACGCAAATACAGAAGAATTTTAAGATGAATTTAAAAATTTTTAAATTCATTTCAAAATTTGAAAAAAAATTGTGCAGCTCTGGTTCGGTGTAACAACGATCTTTATATTAACATGCATTTACGTACCAAATCTGAAGATCGGTTTATAATGAAACTTTTGGTACACCAATCACTACACCTGAATGCATTTAAACGTTTGCTTCCCCACCGTATGACGTGAAATTAACGATTATTAGAATTACAATTGACCGCAGAAACATGCTCAGTGAAATCAATATAACGTTATCTATCCAGTAATAGCCACACAATTAAGGCCAGATTTCCAGCGGTTATTGATTTTGGGGCTTTTAGCTAATTGTAAAAAATTAAGTCTCCTCTATCAGAATATGTCATTATCATTCAAGAAAAAAATTTGCTGAGTTTAAAAAACAACCGCTGGAATCTCGCCTTAATAGCCACACAACTAAGTCCAGTTTTCAAACCAAATTTGTCATAGAAAGACCACCAAAGAAGTTCAAAATCCAAGTATTTACATTGTAGTTACCCTACCTGTACGTAGTTTAAGTTATCCTACGTAGCAGGGACGGGCCCGGACGGCAAATTTTAGTTATCCTAGTAATCCTACGTAGCAGGGACTGATGCGTTAAGCCATTTTCAATTTTACTCGTGTCTCCACGTTATCATATGTTAAAGTTTTTTACTGGACGGAAAAACTAAATGCGGAAAGGGAAATGCATTGATGCGTCTTGCAATTAAGCACATCCCATGGTCCCAACGTCCCATGGTCTTGCATGAACGACCTTTTACGCTATTAATGTACTCTTACCAATCCCCAAAAGTTCCACCGACGTGATTCATCCCCTTGTGCAATATAGAGAAGCTTTCTGCTTTCAACCTTAACGAATATTGTGTTGAAACTGTGCCCATGCTCACGATTCCACCACCAGAAGTCTTGCTTGCTGCGCGCCTTGGCAAGAACTGCAGTTATCCAACTCAGCGGCATACTAAGTCGCTTGTAACTGTTTAGCTCGAAAGATGGTCGTTCTCCAGAAGGCATGATCCACATGCGTCTTGCCACTTCCTTCACGATTTTGCCTTGTCTTTGAGCCTCGACAACAGCGAAAGTATGATACGATCCCGCGATAACGGTGGCCGGGTACCAGCGAAATGCCTCGCTGTTTGAGCCCCGCCACAAAATTTGTACCGTGTCGCCCGGGGCGAAAAGGTAATGAGAAATTCTCCCAAAGCATCGATGAAAAGGGATTAGCTCAGTATGGTGGCCGGGATATCCAAAATCAATGAAACAACCTCTCGCTACGTCCACATCAACTATCAGGCCGTGACGGAATGATCCATCGTCATCCTGTACGTCCACGGCGCCATAACACCATACAAGATCGTTTTCGAACATATTATTATAGTCCTCCTTCCTAAGTGGCTATATGCAGTTAATGTTTACTGATGAAGTTAATTCAGGGCACAAGGAAACTGCAGATAGAGCGGCATGTTGCTCATTTAATACTATTAACTCAGACTAACCATAAGGCACATAACTCAGCATAAGCAGTAAGCACTACAGTACTAGCTAAAAAGCAAAAGAGCAAAGAAATACAGTAGATAAATTAATTATTAACGGCGAAGCAGTAAAACTGCAATGGAATGGCTGGTACTTGGTAGGAATGCAATAATCAATACTTCTGTATGTTAGTCTGTTATGTCAGTCAACGTAGCTATGTCTTGGTACGTACTAGGCATGTCATCTGGTTGATCGACGGAGGCTGATCTGAACCACGCGGGCGCGCCGCAGCAATCCTTTAGGAAAGCATAAAAATTCATGCCGACGTAGCATCTATGAACATGTGTGCGCTTTGGTACTCCCATGTTCTACCAGATGGGCCTCAAAGCGCTCAATTTGCCAATAACGAAATACGCTGCGTGGGTATCCTGAAGAAACGATTTGGTATCAGTGGGCAGGCATTTGACCTGACGCAGACGGTCACTCTGATTGGAGCCAATGGACCACTGATACAAAGTGGGCTGCAGTTGCGTATTACGAAGAAAACCGTGCCAGCAAGAAACTTTTTTTTATTTTTCAGATGCCATCGCACAGCACGATAGAGCGGACGTTCCCGGTGCCAAAGTCAGCTTCCCGTGATCTGCCATTCCGGCAAATGGCCTGCATTCCGCTTTTATATGTCTGTCAACAACTTTGCAAATAGCATAAGGAAAAAGATGCAATTTGTACAATGGTTGTAATACAATGTCAATTACCTAATTGCGCACATTTAAATATTAAATTGTCACGCCTTTTAACTGTTTGTCCAGCGGTTGAATGGAGCTTTGACGGTGCCTCCCGAACCCAACTCACAAAATGGCTTTTAACGGAAAGATGACCTTATAGATGCCGATCAAGAAGGGCGTTTTAATGCGTTGTTGTCATCATATTAGCACATGTGCACATAGTTTCACTCTTGCATAAAGTTGCCAAAAGGTCATGTACTGAATGCGCTGTTTAAAAACACAAAATATACAAAATAATTGTTGTCGCGCTACATGTTTTACCGCGCCATAATAATCGCTCTTTTCTTTGGCGCTTCTTGGCTTCATGATCGTATACGCAGACAACTGAACCATTCTAAAACGTCTCATGGTTGTACGTAGCATTAAGTGCCAATGCACTTGCTAACGCAATAATAATGATTTCAGTCAAGCATTTTACAATCTCTTTATGCAAAAACCCACGCTTGCCGGGAACGTTTTTTGTGCTTCCGTTTCCATCAACTGTTTCATAAAGCAGTCATACGTTTTGCCACCTGTTTTGTTAATCTTGACAGCCAATGCGGCGGCTGCCCAAAACACCGGATGTGGGTCATCTTTGAGCAGCGTTAGTCAAACATGTCAGAACAGCGGCACGGTGTGCCACAGTCTCCAGGCACAGTGCTGGCAAACGGCTTCATGCGAATTCTTAGCCAGCATCGCCACAGCCAGTGATGCGGTGACGGTTGACCTTCTCGCTGTGGCCAATGGCGATCAACTGCATTTAAATCTTACCGGCAACCGGTGGATCGGAGTGGGATTCTCCATGGTGCGGTCTTCTTCCCATTTTTCACAAACTGCTTTATTCGAGTTATGTGCATAAATGTATTACGTAGATTAAGCAGGAAAAGAGTGGATTTATGGAAGGAACGTTAATTTTTTATGGTAAATTATATGATGATCGAAATCAGGTAAATTGTTGATCGACAGAGTGGAGGCATGGCTAATTCAGCGGTGGTACGTTGCTTCCATGATGTCAACGACACCGTGCAAGCCAAACTGACGTATAACATCCCCAACGCCCATCTTAATATTGGATGGCAGACTGTTGATGTAAGAATCGTGCGTCGTTAACGGCACGTATCTGTGCAGTGCAACCCGAGAGTGTTGTTTTTACCCGCTATAGCCTTGTGTTAGTTTTAGGCTTGCCGTTACTTAATTTGGTAATATAGACGCTTTAGTACATCTTATAGCAAGCACCGCTAAATGTCCAATCGGCTTCCTACGTGAACAACGAACTCCACTGCGTCGTCAAGCTGCACAAGAAATTCACCATCCAGCGTCAAGCGTTTGACCTTAGTCAGCCGGTGACTTTAATTGCCGCCACGGGCCGTTACGAAACAGTAAGCGGTGTTGAATGCTGTCCGTGTTTTGCTGTGGCCACGAATCAGGGACCTTGCAGATACCGTTTCCATGCATGATCGGGATCCAGCCATATTGAAACAGAAAACCAAGTTTTAATAAATGCATCCGGAAGCAATTCCACTCGACAGCCAGTTAAAGCACATGACCACCCGTCTGCGGCTTTTGGCGTGGACAGTGTCTGCTATCTATCTGCTCCGTGTTTTTGCATTTGCTGTCTGCTTACAAATCTACCCGACCCTGTTTTCGCGCAGCTTATAATGGTGTGACTGTATCTTGACTATATAAAGACGAAGCGCATACGGAAAAGCCTCTTGTATAAAATAATAGTTATCTAATATTTCTGTACTCTTGCAATGAATTACACACTTTTCAAAGTATCGCATCACTGTCGATTATGCCATAATATTTTGTCTAACAAGGAAAATCGTAGAACAGTGGAAACCAGACACTTCTTCGTGAGTATTATCAATGGTTTGGTTCGGGTCTTAATCGTTATGCAATCGTATAAAGAATATCAGTTAAAATACAACTTTTACTCCAGCGGATGGTATGCTTTTATCGGAAAACAGGCTACCAGACACCTGTGTAATTATGAGTTTATATGGTTTTTACGGCATAGGAAGCTTGGCGAAAAAGGTCACCGGATGAGAAATTGGCAAATTTTACTTGTGATAGAGACGTGTTTAAAAATATACACGAGATGCCGGTTTATGCGTTATCAGCTTTACTGACAATTAGAAATATTTTCGGGTTTGAACTCTGAACAGCCGGGTACATAGCGCACACCACCGGATAAAAACAAGATTACACCTCCAAACTGCAGGCAAAATCGGGGATTAACTGAATAAGCAGGAACTTTGCGGAATAATAATTCTAGTCTCTGAACCACAAATCAAGCCAGAGCTCAACAAAAAGATAATAACAGGGAGAAGGGGGCACACATCACAGTCTATATATAACACACCATCGCGGGGGACAAAAGATCCCTTTGAAAAGCATGGCGCGCGCGTCACAAAACAACATAAAATCTCTCTAGAATCTCTTGCATTCTCTTGCATTCGTCTCAGATATCGGCGGATCCACGACGCCACTGCGAATAGGAGGTAGCCGCCGGCGGCGGCGGGGAGGCGACGTAGACGCCGCTGGCGTTGCCGTACGTGTACTCCGGCATGGGGCCGCCGCCGTGCACGTAGCCGGCCGAGGGACTAGAGGGACGGGGGATTTCGCCGGTGCGCAGGAAACGGTTGAGCTCCTCCTCCGTGTCGAAGATCCAGATGTTGAAGGGCGAGCCGGGCACGTGCTCGCCGGACCATTTCACTTCGATGCGGTAGTCGCCGGGCTCGGTGGGGTCGTACTTGCACAGGATGGTGCGGTCCTTCTGACTCTCGCGCTGCATCTCCACGCGGAAGGCGCCTACAAGACCAAAAAATAAATTATAATTTTTATGGCTTTATTTACAAGGTAAAAAAATATTATAAATTGTATTCTTATTTTAATATATTAAATAGAAATTTTACAATTATTTTTAAATTAAAAATTATTTTATTTTATAATTACTTTTAGATTATTCTTTTAAATTATACTCAATTACCATTCAACCAATCAATCATTATTGTAATTTAAACAGTTTTTCGCTTAAAAATAACTTTTTTATTTTCAAATCATTTTTTGTCCTTTCTTATACCTAGTTTTATTGTTTTTGGGAATTTTTATACTATTTTTAGGAAATTTATAACTTACTTCTGATAAGTCATCCGCAGAGTTGGAAGCCAGTAAAAACTGATTGTAAAACGTACCTTTGGGCCCGCGCACGCGCACGGTTAATTGCCCAGCACCGGCACCTTTGGTCTCGCACATGAACCGGCTCTGATAACTGGCCAGCACATCGTGATTCACCCCCGGACCGTACACGCGCACCTTGCTGGGATCGGGTGTACCGGCAATTTTAATGGCAAATGGACTTCCTATAAACAGAAACACAGAAAACATTGTAATAATCAATGCGATGATGGAGCTAACCGTTGACAGCGTCCTGGGCACGTGTTCTCCGTTGTACTTGATGGTGAGCAAATGTTGACCGGCTTCGGCTGGTTTGATTCGCAGTGTGTACGTTCCGTCCCGGTGGTCATACAGCTCACAGAACGCCTCTTTATGCGGACCCATACAGTGTACGGACAGTTCGCCTGCAGAATTATTACATAATTAACATCCACTAGACTTCATTATCTGTGCTTATAATGGTTTGGGAACACACTGCCGAATCTTGAATGTGTAAAGGACGCGTATAGAATAATCGGTTGTGCCATATTATTTTGTCTAATAAGGAAAATCGTAAAACAGTGCAAACTAGACAATTCTTCGGTGGCAATTTTAATGGTTTGGTTACGGCTATATTAAATCGTTATAAAAACATACAAAAAATAAATGAAGAAATTAAAATAAACTTTTTTTACATCAGGCGGATGGTTTGCTTTTGTTTGACGTACCATTAAAGCAGCTACTCATATACAGCATATTAAGCTGTAATACTGCCGCATTTATTTATGTGTACAGTGTATTACAACGATTATTATATTTTATCACATAGTATGTACGTTTGTATATTGTAGCAAAACTTTTCATAAGAAAAAATCTACAATACGGCCTTCCGCTTCAGCAGCAAAAAAATATGTTTCTTAAGCGCCACGCGGTACACTGCTCTTCACTTGTTGTTACAACGATTACAATACGCAAAGGGCTACCAATTTCCACTGTTCTGCGATCAACCTCTCTCGGCACAATATTGTGGCACAATTCATACTGCCACCACGATAATGATAACTGACACCCCCCATAATGATAATTTAACACCCCCCATAATGATAATTTTTATACGTGGCATAATTTTTAAATCGCATATTATTATTCTGCCGGGAATGTAACACGAGGATACTTTTCGGACTTACCTGGTCCGGCGCGTCGCGTATCGATCATACTCTTGATATCCTTGCCGATCATCCCGCTCTTGATATCCCCACTGACCACCACCTTACTGGCATCCCCGGCGGACGCCACCGTCAGTTTGTACGGGCACCCTTTCACCGTGTCCCCGCTCCATTTGACGTTGAGGACGTAGGAGCCGCTGTGCTGCGCCGTGTACGTCGCTTTGTAGACGTTACTGCCCAGATGCTGCAGCGTCACCGGGATGTCGGCTTTGATGCCGCTGATGTGGACTTCCGGTTCGCCGGGTCCGGCCTCCTAGCCGTCGATGATGAACTCGGCTTCCTCGCGCACTTTGGCCTCCGTCAGACCGCGATCGCGCAGCCGCACCCGGCCGGCGTCGATGGGGATGAGGGCCGGCTCGGCCCAGCCGGGGAACGGGGAGTGCGGGATGGGCTGCTCCGACCACCACACGTGGATATCGTGATGACCTATAGTGTGGCAGTTTTACTCTCAAACGCACGTATTTTAATTCAGAAGCGAATTTTATTATTTTCTGCGTATTGACATGCTATACGGAAGATGCACTACATCTACCGTACTAGATGACCAACCACACACAGTCGGTAGAGTGGGAATCTCTGTTCTGAACGGTGATCTGCTCCTAACTCCTACGCTCACAACCAGTATCTGGATGATGTTCATCCAGATTCAAATGTGACTTCCTGCAGGTACACACTAATGCTTTCGCCACAAGAAGGTAACTCAGGATCTCCTAACCTTTAATCATAATCTGAAGACTGCACACACTGCATACAGACTCTCCAGCCAACACCATCAAACCTGCACACACCGCATACAGATCTGCCAAGACCAAACTCACACTCAAACTCTCAAGTCAGACTCCGACAAGACTAATCACACAAACAGAATCGCTGATGGAATTAGCGATCAAAAGCTTTAGATAAGAACAGGTAAATCGTACGTGAACTACGACGTACGTACAAAGTATGGGCATACTACGCCTACTGCGTCAGTATTTTAGTTTCTTTTTCGATTCCAGGATGCCTGATACTGATTATCACCTGACTAGAAAACCGAAATAATTCTTTTTGAACGCACAAACGTAGTACAATGGCTGACTGTGGAAAACCCCAGTTCCAAATCGATAATAAAACTTTGCTATCTGTCCTCGCTTAATTTGCAAACTCTAAGAAACCATCAAACTTTATTTTAAAAATAAATGTTTTTCTAATAAAGTTTTATATTTCTAAATTTTTGGAAAATTTTTAAATTTTTGCTGTTACTACCGGCTAGAATTGTTAAATGCTCCGTCAACGCTGTCCAAAGCGTAGAACATGGAAAAACCCAATAAAATTAAGTACTCGAGCTCTATCATGGAGCTATCCGAACATTAAGTCCAATTTCTACTGTTTTTGGGACCCAAAAACAGTAGCTTTTCACAGCAAATCTTTGGGCCAGCAGATACATAACAAGAGTAAAATTGGTGATATTTCTGAACCATGTTGCTTTTCAAAGCTTTTCATATCGGATAAACAAGCTACATATTGCAGTGGGTGCAATTTATGCCAGACTATACAGATCTGCAATCTGTAGTAGTTCATACCGCAGTAATTTATATTACGGTTAAAATAGCTGTTTAAATATTTGTTCATCTACTGTATTAATTATATCATTTGATTTTCTTAGTAAATTCTAGTTTTATTCCCTAAAACTTTTGTCGCTGTCGTTGTGCTTACCTTCGGCAATTGCGGTGAAACTGACTTTGACCCGGTCCTTGCCGACGTTCTCCACCTTAACGGGGACCAGTCCACTGGGCCCGCGGACTTCCGCCGACAGTTTCCCTGGACAGGCTTCCGACGTATCGAAGGTGATCGTAGAATATTTAATTTATATGAAACATAATCCTACCTATTTGTTCCGATCGCTTTCGAAACGCTGGGCCCGTGAGGACCGTCGGCGATCACAATCATCAAAGAGCAGGGCAAAAAAGAATGCACACCGGAGAAACAAGCTCGCACGAATTTCTGCGGCAGCGTTTGTCCATGGAAATTCAACGAGGAAATGCGGCGTCAGTGCTGGGGACGATGGAAGGGCGGATAAGCCGAACGAAATTTTTCTGTTAATATCTTAGCGTGTTTTTTTTTAATTTGTGTATTGCGAGTTTGATTTGACCAATAAAGTTACAGTATCCTGATCGGAGTGTTCCCTAAGGTAATGTGCAAAGCTTCAGCTTTCAAAGGTGTGATGATGTTACTGTGCACTGTGACTTGCTTTCGACTTGCACTAAACATCGTGGTGTTCGCGTTGACCACAGATGGCACAACAGTGTTGGCTACCATATCCACAGAACCGACCCGCGGCTGTGCAGTGACCTTTGTTCCATAGGTGGCACACTTCGTCATCTTTGGCTCCCCCGCTACCTGCGGGGAGGCTGAGAACCAACTGACCTACCCACGATGAGCGACGATTGCTGGTACTACTTTGCAATAGCGGACATTCAGGCCTGATGTGTCCGAATTTCCAGCAGTTATAACACTGGACCTCAGTATTTCTGCCTACACCGCCTGTGTGATGACCAGCGTCATGCCCAAGTGGTTGCATCAAATACTTGGTATAAGCGTCGTCATTTCTGCGCTACCACTGCATGACATCATTTGGATTTCGTCAAACGACTAAACGGAACTGTCGGTCATAATCAAGCCACTGGTCAACAGCAGTTCCTTTCCCCGCTTATATCTGCGCGACGTGATCTATGTAGTTCATCATAGGTAGGTCCACCTCCTGGTATATGGCACACCGATATATTTTTAGCACGGCAAACGCCCTCATCCATGGACTGAAGTCTCGAATCTGCGCACTTTTGCCAAATGCATTCTTAGTGTCGACTACGCTTGAGGGGGACATTTGTTTAGCAGTTAATCAAGAAGGTTTACGAATTACCTTTTGCGAATAAAGCTATGAAGAAAGTCCTTGACCGAGCTACTGCCACTATTCAGCGAAGAGAAATGCTAGGAAACGTAGTGACCTTTCTGTTGCACAGAAACTCAGCTGAATATGTACTACACGGGGGTAATTCCACCTCTCTTGTCAGACCAGTTCCGCCTCAGCCTCCTTTGGGTGAGTGACCGGATTGACTACCACAGAATTCGTGGGAATTTTTTATTATTTTCACCGAATATCATCCAGAAATTATAGCGACAAAAACCAAATTTTTAGAAAATCTTCGGATTTCATAACTTTGATCACGATTACAGGAAACGCGGAGGCGATAGTCGAGACTGTTTTTTAAACGTTACCGACCAAGTCGTCGCATAAAATCTCGTCGCGGGACACTTTTTCGGCCATTTTAGGTCGCGGGGACAGTTCATTTAAGGACTTGTCGTCGCTAGACTTTTCGTCTTGAGACATCTGGCAATCAGACATGTGGTTACACGGACAACTCGAGTTCAGACATTTCGTCGTCAGGACAATTGGATTCGCAATTTTTTTAATTGAAAATTTTTAATTTTAGCTTGAATATGCCGCCGTTTCACTCAAAATTTATCTCATTTAGACAAGCCCAGCATATGGAATAACTCCTTATTTTTAAAAATTTCGAAAACATTATATTATTTCGATTATTAGTACTAGTAGATATTGAGCAAACTTACCCAGTTATTCAATTAGGTACTTGCGTGTAAAACATGCAGTAAAATCTAAAAACTGCTCTGTGTTATACAGAAACACTATTACAAATACTGTATGTTAAGATTCAATATTTTTGTGGTTTCTGCAGTTAAAATATTAGAAAATTGTGCATTATGGCAAACCAGCAACAATTATATTATAATAATTGTGTGTATTTGAAGTTTGTGCACGATTAACAGAGAGGAAAGCAAGAGAGACTTGATTGCCATTATTAATTTAGGTTGGAACATTTAGCAAGGAACAAGCTTCTCTGCACACTGTACAGTCTATCATTATTCATACGTGTGCACAGCAGACATCGTTAAACGCAGAATCACTTTCTCACTTCAAGACAGTGATAAAGGGTGTCCCAGTTTCCATCACGCAGTACATTTTGACCACTACAGAAACTGCATGAATAAAATAGTTTCTGGGCTACACTGACACAGATCGCACGTAAATGTCAGTGATTTTCAATTGTCTCCGTGTTTGAAGGATGACAATACTTTTCCCCTTCTGCCTTCTGGTTGTAATGCCAGAGAAGTCATGATCTGTTCCTTTAAAAATCAGTTTTTCAGTGGCAAAACCAAAGTTTCAGAATCAGCCGCTCGTAAACAAATATTTCCTCAATTTTTCAGCTAAAGGTTACAGTTCCAGGTTGACCGCCTTGCCAACATCGTCAACGACTATAACAACCAGGAAAAGGTCGGATTCTTGCGAAACACTGCGGCAGACCTGGAATTGAGTGTGTGAGCGGTCAGTTACGCATATTTTCATTAGCATAAGCAAGATGTTTTTGTTTGCTAAATCTTGAATGTGTCGAACTGTGGTGTGGTTAATTAAACTTTTGCATGCCTTAGTTTTTGTAATTTTGAGCAATAACGATCGCGGTTGGTTAAACTCCTTCCACGATTTTTATTAACTGTATCTACTTCGGTTTTGTTTTTATATTTTATTAAGACTTTCTTCTTGGCGGTTCTGATTTGTCATTAACTTCGGCTTGAAAATAACAAAATTTCACACAACGAAAAGTCCATCAACGAAAAGTCCGTGCGCCGAAATGTCCTAGCCTGGCAACGAGTAGTTTGCTACCAATTGTCGCGTTAACGAAACATCCGAAAACGAAATGTCCGTAAAACGGAACGTCCACATACGAGTTGTCCCACGACCAGAAGTCCTCTAAACGAAGTGTCGCCGACGAAATGTCCCGCGACGAACTGTCTCGCGACGACTTGTCACGTAGCCGTTTTTTAAAACCCAAAAGAAAATGGCTATTCCCACCACCCTGGCACCTCCTTCGGCTATTCTGACCACTTTCCCCCCGTGATCAGAGGAGATATCCGACCTTAATTGTGCCACGAAGTTCTTAGGCTTATCTGCATAGCACTTATTCACATCGGTAAATATTAGCGGCTTTACCTTTACGTTTCTAATGGTAATGGATAAATGTAATGATGCTCAAATTTCTAAAAAAAGATTTCTGTAACAACCAGTATTTTATGAATAATATACGTAAGAGGTGGGAATGGGAGTAAGAGATAGTGGGAACATATGTAAATAAAGGGTGGTGGTGCCGAAAGGAGATGTAAAAAGGTTTATTTGATAATAAAGACTTGACAGTTGACACGACGGGTCTGCGCTTCCGTGTTACATCTGAAATTGTGGGAGCAGTAATTCAGTTCTGTTGTGCGTTTTAACACGGAAGTCCATGTTGTGAAAGGTCATTTTTATTTACACATGCGGTTTCAGTTAGTAAGAAAGAAGCTCTTCAGAAGCTTATTAGAAAAGAAAATCTCAAAACTGTTAAAATTACAGCGTCCGTAATTGGGATAGCCCAGAGGTGCTTATTCCTCTTCCTACAACTTTGTATAACAAGACTGCTTTTTACATAGTATTTTATCACATTTCTGTTTGCAGTGTCATTTCGTTCTAAGGTAAGTGTTTTAATGTCGAGAGTAAAGCAGTCTTTTGGCTTTTAGCGTCGCTTTCTAATAACGCAGAGCTGGTTTTTTGATGTAGTAAATCAGGAAAAATTCTAGCACACCATTGGATCGTAAATACGAAAATACGTACAGTACGTAACGGTTTGCACGCCATTTCATTGGAAGAAGCGCCAGTAGACGTAACACTGAGTTCAAACCATAGAAACTATAATATCACTGTTATGCCTACGAGCCGAAGTACGTATGCATCATACAACTATGTATTTTGAGTTGTTGGTTAAAATACTCACAAGTCAGTATTACTGATAAAAACTTGATCAATGTCGCTACGCGACTGCAGCGCCCCAATGCCACGTTGCAGGAACAAAGTGAATTTCTTATTACAACCAGTATTGGGTTCGGTTTCGACCGCCTGGCGTAACTGAATTCAAAAAGAGCCACTGGTGGCAGATTAAGTAAAATAATTTCTACAAAGAAATGGTAAGAAGAAAGTAGCGGCAATATCCAAAAAGTGGTGCGGGGGCAGTCAAAGGCGGTGTTCGTTCTAGTTTTATAAAAGGGAGGTGACAATAGCCGAAAGGGGGCGCAGGGGGTGACAATAGTCACACCCAATTTCAATTACTTACCTATTTCATCACGATCACGGTTTCCTTTCGAAAACTTTTAAAATTTTGATAACTATGTGATAACGTACGTTGGTTTTGGTTTTATGCAGCGGCCCCAAGGCGATCGCCTCTCGCCTTTTTCCGCAACAGTATCGACTAAGCGACTTATTGTAATCGCAGTCTAGTACCTATTCCTTTCTACCTTTGCATGTGCCAGTGATTCGCGTTTTCTTTTGGACTCCGCTTAACTTCCATGTTTTCGCATACCTGATAAACTTTAACCTTTTTTATGTTATCACTTCTTGTGGTTACACATATTGCCTCGTTGCAAGGACAAAACATTTCCATTATTACAAGACGCACAAAAGAACATCAGAAAACAAAAAAAAAACACCCAAAATGCCAAGGAACAGAAGAAAATATCCCTAAAAAGGATAAGGGACCTAGAAACCAGACCGAAAACAAGGGATCGGTAAAAAATAATTCCTGGAAAACGTCGGGCAATAAAATCGTCGAAAAGCGAAATGCCGGTCAGTACTCTGTCGGTCAGCAGTTTGTGTTATTCACATGTTAGCAGGTAGCAGTATACCGGTCAGCAAATTGTTTGGAAGGAAAACGGAGGTTAAAGATTTGACGTGCTCCCCAAGTTTACAAGGTCATTCTTCAGTACTGATGGAGAAGATTTTTTTCAGAGCGGCTGTCCAAGTACCACATCAATGCAAACAAAGTTAAGTTTCGCAGGGAATGGCATGGTACCTGAGCTAACGGGTCATCCATTTTGCCAGTGAATCGTGCATCTCCTGCTTGCCACTGCGTCAGTAATTGTATCAAGATCCTTTTTGGTACAGGATGAGCGTCTAGTTGGCTTTGCAACGTTCGAATGCCTTCGTCGGTCATCGGTTGACAATTATTTTCCAGAAACTGCCTTGCAGATTGCATTTGCTCGTTTTGATTTGTGTTGATGACACACTTGCTTAAAAAAATGTTAGTACGTAAGTCCAGATATTGCGGTGTCCAAAACCTGCGGTAATAAGGCCCAACAAAGCTGGAGCGGGAAGAGTGCCAGCCACTACCCGATAGTATAATTGTTTTGTAAATCGGTTAATATTTTCGTCAAAAGCTAAAGCCAGCTGGTCATTCCCATATTTCTGCAGATTAAATTCCATCCGCAAACCAGCGGGAGCGGTTGTTAAAATGATGCGCCAGAATTTACACACTTTACGACAATTCAGTTCGTCCTGAAATTCCAGAAAGGAAAATATCCGATGGAAGACTTCCACTGGAATACAAGTATTTATACACGGTTGATGCTGATACAGTGTTGTGGATATGGTAGCCTAATAAAAATAAAAGATAAAACGATCATTTCATCCGATCGATTTTTTACTGAAGTATGGTAGGACACTGGGCATATACAGCGCTGCCGGGCCAAGCAGGGCCAAGCTGCGACACCAATCAGAGCTGCTTGTAGGAAGTCGAACTGTTGGCCAGCAAACTCTCGGTCAGCAGGTTTATTGATCAGCAATATATCAGTCATTAAACTGTCGGGAAGCAAAATGAAGGTCATGGGTCAGGTCAAGCAAAATGGACATGCTACGGGCAGAGACGGGTATACATAAGCCCCTTAAAAATGACCGCCACCCCATCTCCTTAATCACTCCCTGACCCTTGCTGATATAAATAAAGATAAAAAGATTTGTTGCTAATGAACCCGGCAGTGACCTGACATGTGAGTTACCCGAGGAAAGCTTTGAAAACAACCGAAAGGGCATAGAAAATACGTCCATTTCATTTTACGCAACTATGTACTGCGTCCTAACTTGGCCCGGCAGGGCTATAGTCTGTAGCGCAGGCCATTTATGATTTAGTAAACAAGTACTATCAGTTTTTGTAGTATGCGCGCATTTCTACATATCCGATTCTACCTCGTAAATACCCGAAATGCCCGATTCCGATAGTATTTTGATTACTAAAATGTGACTTCTTACCAGAAAGGATTTGAAAGCAATGGGCTTGTCGCGTTCTCTTTCTAAATACCTCTTCCCATTACGCAGTTCATAGGTTGTTGTCCGTTTAGCCATTATCCGAAATACTTCGACCTTATAAAACAAAATTTAAAGCGTCTGCAGTGTGCATCGGCATCGTATTTTAAAGCTAACGTCAGAATTATATAGCACGTGCGACGTGAAATTTGGCCGACCAATGTTTCGTGCCGCAATGGGTGTACTGATTCAAATACAATGGGTGGATGCTTCTGCGATCTCGTTTTTGATTTTTGCGTTACTTACCGTAGTACAAATGACTTATTGTGCTTGAATTGTTACAGACTATAGCTGCCCATAATTGTGGCAACTTATCTTGAACGTGTGTCTACAATCTCATGCAGACTACGCCTGATTGTTGTAGGCGTTAAGCCCATTAAACAAACAATCAAACCAAAGTTACCAAACCACGTTTACCCTGCCTTGCGTTTACCCAGCGTAGCTGTACCTTAGTACAGCTACGTTTTTTGGTAGATAGGTATACTTCATGGTTCAAGCTGTTCAGCAAACTGGTCACCGTTTATTATATCGACAGCACCGTAGTACCATAGAGGCTGGTTACGGATAGAACCGAACATGGAAGCTGAACATGGTGCATGCGGTTTGATCACTGTTTATGCATTGTTATTTGCGGTTCTTATAAGTTTCTTAGGCTTGTTAGCTTAATTAAGGGATTTGGCCCGGTACATACCACCAAATTCGTGCACATTCACGGGAGCTTTTCGCTGTCGCGCATTCCCAAATGCTGTTTTGCATTGCTTTATGACATTGTTTAGCCAGATGATTTGTGTACATGGGCGTAAAAACCGTTTGTGCACGTAACAGGTTCGTGAGTTATGGCTGCAAGAAAATATTCCAAAATTTTTAAATGCATCGAGGTGTACCAAAAGTTACGTTATAAACCGATCTTTCAGTTTTGCACGCTGCAGCGGTGAAATTATATCTCGATTGCATCCAGGCGTGTTTTGCCAGCTTCCTCCTTTCCGCTTGCTCGGCTGCAGCACCAACGTTAGCATAGGTGCGCTCAGTATACGAAGATGTATCAACGCACGTCACATCCACTGCTAGCGGTTTTCCTCGTTCCCACAGTTCGAAAGTTACGGCCCATGGAGTGACCGGACTAAACACCTAGTGCACAAGGTCGGGAACGGTATGGCCACTGCTACGAAGCAAAGAAGAAAGTTGGCGAGACGATCTTTGCTTGGAAACTTAATAAATTGTGGACATTTTTTGTTGATTCTGTTTCTTCTGATTTGTTCGATATTCGTACTATTGGTGCTTTTAAGCAAGCTTTGAACCGTGTCGATTTTGTTTAAGGAATCTTTTCTGTCTATCTGCACTCGTACTTTTCGAATTTGCTATTTGGCCAGGTTTAAAACCCCAGCTAGAATGTCACCCTAGCCGGAAATGGGCTACCTGCTCCACGATGAATAATAATAAAATAATAATAATACAGGCCAGAAACGGGCGAAAGAGTTTTTTAGACAGTGGTTATCTATCCAAATGCAACGGGGAAACGCGATATGTGTTATGGGTACAATCCCCGAGCAGGATAGCATTGCAGAAGTGTTTTCGTTATAAATCTTGCCTTTTTAGTACTCAGTTTGTACTTACATGACGATACTTATTAAAGACAGATAGGGTAGCCCCATTGTTAAAACAAATTTTGCTCGTAAACGCAAATACAGAAGAATTTTAAGATGAATTTAAAAATTTTTAAATTCATTTCAAAATTTGAAAAAAAATTGTGCAGCTCTGGTTCGGTGTAACAACGATCTTTATATTAACATGCATTTACGTACCAAATCTGAAGATCGGTTTATAATGAAACTTTTGGTACACCAATCACTACACCTGAATGCATTTAAACGTTTGCTTCCCCACCGTATGACGTGAAATTAACGATTATTAGAATTACAATTGACCGCAGAAACATGCTCAGTGAAATCAATATAACGTTATCTATCCAGTAATAGCCACACAATTAAGGCCAGATTTCCAGCGGTTATTGATTTTGGGGCTTTTAGCTAATTGTAAAAAATTAAGTCTCCTCTATCAGAATATGTCATTATCATTCAAGAAAAAAATTTGCTGAGTTTAAAAAACAACCGCTGGAATCTCGCCTTAATAGCCACACAACTAAGTCCAGTTTTCAAACCAAATTTGTCATAGAAAGACCACCAAAGAAGTTCAAAATCCAAGTATTTACATTGTAGTTACCCTACCTGTACGTAGTTTAAGTTATCCTACGTAGCAGGGACGGGCCCGGACGGCAAATTTTAGTTATCCTAGTAATCCTACGTAGCAGGGACTGATGCGTTAAGCCATTTTCAATTTTACTCGTGTCTCCACGTTATCATATGTTAAAGTTTTTTACTGGACGGAAAAAACTAAATGCGGAAAGGGAAATGCATTGATGCGTCTTGCAATTAAGCACATCCCATGGTCCCAACGTCCCATGGTCTTGCATGAACGACCTTTTACGCTATTAATGTACTCTTACCAATCCCCAAAAGTTCCACCGACGTGATTCATCCCCTTGTGCAATATAGAGAAGCTTTCTGCTTTCAACCTTAACGAATATTGTGTTGAAACTGTGCCCATGCTCACGATTCCACCACCAGAAGTCTTGCTTGCTGCGCGCCTTGGCAAGAACTGCAGTTATCCAACTCAGCGGCATACTAAGTCGCTTGTAACTGTTTAGCTCGAAAGATGGTCGTTCTCCAGAAGGCATGATCCACATGCGTCTTGCCACTTCCTTCACGATTTTGCCTTGTCTTTGAGCCTCGACAACAGCGAAAGTATGATACGATCCCGCGATAACGGTGGCCGGGTACCAGCGAAATGCCTCGCTGTTTGAGCCCCGCCACAAAATTTGTACCGTGTCGCCCGGGGCGAAAAGGTAATGAGAAATTCTCCCAAAGCATCGATGAAAAGGGATTAGCTCAGTATGGTGGCCGGGATATCCAAAATCAATGAAACAACCTCTCGCTACGTCCACATCAACTATCAGGCCGTGACGGAATGATCCATCGTCATCCTGTACGTCCACGGCGCCATAACACCATACAAGATCGTTTTCGAACATATTATTATAGTCCTCCTTCCTAAGTGGCTATATGCAGTTAATGTTTACTGATGAAGTTAATTCAGGGCACAAGGAAACTGCAGATAGAGCGGCATGTTGCTCATTTAATACTATTAACTCAGACTAACCATAAGGCACATAACTCAGCATAAGCAGTAAGCACTACAGTACTAGCTAAAAAGCAAAAGAGCAAAGAAATACAGTAGATAAATTAATTATTAACGGCGAAGCAGTAAAACTGCAATGGAATGGCTGGTACTTGGTAGGAATGCAATAATCAATACTTCTGTATGTTAGTCTGTTATGTCAGTCAACGTAGCTATGTCTTGGTACGTACTAGGCATGTCATCTGGTTGATCGACGGAGGCTGATCTGAACCACGCGGGCGCGCCGCAGCAATCCTTTAGGGAAAGCATAAAAATTCATGCCGACGTAGCATCTATGAACATGTGTGCGCTTTGGTACTCCCATGTTCTACCAGATGGGCCTCAAAGCGCTCAATTTGCCAATAACGAAATACGCTGCGTGGGTATCCTGAAGAAACGATTTGGTATCAGTGGGCAGGCATTTGACCTGACGCAGACGGTCACTCTGATTGGAGCCAATGGACCACTGATACAAAGTGGGCTGCAGTTGCGTATTACGAAGAAAACCGTGCCAGCAAGAAACTTTTTTTTATTTTTCAGATGCCATCGCACAGCACGATAGAGCGGACGTTCCCGGTGCCAAAGTCAGCTTCCCGTGATCTGCCATTCCGGCAAATGGCCTGCATTCCGCTTTTATATGTCTGTCAACAACTTTGCAAATAGCATAAGGAAAAAGATGCAATTTGTACAATGGTTGTAATACAATGTCAATTACCTAATTGCGCACATTTAAATATTAAATTGTCACGCCTTTTAACTGTTTGTCCAGCGGTTGAATGGAGCTTTGACGGTGCCTCCCAGCAACTCACAAAATGGCTTTTAACGGAAAGATGACCTTATAGATGCCGATCAAGAAGGGCGTTTTAATGCGTTGTTGTCATCATATTAGCACATGTGCACATAGTTTCACTCTTGCATAAAGTTGCCAAAAGGTCATGTACTGAATGCGCTGTTTAAAAACACAAAATATACAAAATAATTGTTGTCGCGCTACATGTTTTACCGCGCCATAATAATCGCTCTTTTCTTTGGCGCTTCTTGGCTTCATGATCGTATACGCAGACAACTGAACCATTCTAAAACGTCTCATGGTTGTACGTAGCATTAAGTGCCAATGCACTTGCTAACGCAATAATAATGATTTCAGTCAAGCATTTTACAATCTCTTTATGCAAAACCCACGCTTGCCGGGAACGTTTTTTGTGCTTCCGTTTCCATCAACTGTTTCATAAAGCAGTCATACGTTTTGCCACCTGTTTTGTTAATCTTGACAGCCAATGCGGCGGCTGCCCAAAACACCGGATGTGGGTCATCTTTGAGCAGCGTTAGTCAAACATGTCAGAACAGCGGCACGGTGTGCCACAGTCTCCAGGCACAGTGCTGGCAAACGGCTTCATGCGAATTCTTAGCCAGCATCGCCACAGCCAGTGATGCGGTGACGGTTGACCTTCTCGCTGTGGCCAATGGCGATCAACTGCATTTAAATCTTACCGGCAACCGGTGGATCGGAGGATTCTCCATGGTGCGGTCTTCTTCCCATTTTTCACAAACTGCTTTATTCGAGTTATGTGCATAAATGTATTACGTAGATTAAGCAGGAAAAGAGTGGATTTATGGAAGGAACGTTAATTTTTTATGGTAAATTATATGATGATCGAAATCAGGTAAATTGTTGATCGACAGAGTGGAGGCATGGCTAATTCAGCGGTGGTACGTTGCTTCCATGATGTCAACGACACCGTGCAAGCCAAACTGACGTATAACATCCCCAACGCCCATCTTAATATTGGATGGCAGACTGTTGATGTAAGAATCGTGCGTCGTTAACGGCACGTATCTGTGCAGTGCAACCCGAGAGTGTTGTTTTTACCCGCTATAGCCTTGTGTTAGTTTTAGGCTTGCCGTTACTTAATTTGGTAATATAGACGCTTTAGTACATCTTATAGCAAGCACCGCTAAATGTCCAATCGGCTTCCTACGTGAACAACGAACTCCACTGCGTCGTCAAGCTGCACAAGAAATTCACCATCCAGCGTCAAGCGTTTGACCTTAGTCAGCCGGTGACTTTAATTGCCGCCACGGGCCGTTACGAAACAGTAAGCGGTGTTGAATGCTGTCCGTGTTTTGCTGTGGCCACGAATCAGGGACCTTGCAGATACCGTTTCCATGCATGATCGGGATCCAGCCATATTGAAACAGAAAACCAAGTTTTAATAAATGCATCCGGAAGCAATTCCACTCGACAGCCAGTTAAAGCACATGACCACCCGTCTGCGGCTTTTGGCGTGGACAGTGTCTGCTATCTATCTGCTCCGTGTTTTTGCATTTGCTGTCTGCTTACAAATCTACCCGACCCTGTTTTCGCGCAGCTTATAATGGTGTGACTGTATCTTGACTATATAAAGACGAAGCGCATACGGAAAAGCCTCTTGTATAAAATAATAGTTATCTAATATTTCTGTACTCTTGCAATGAATTACACACTTTTCAAAGTATCGCATCACTGTCGATTATGCCATAATATTTTGTCTAACAAGGAAAATCGTAGAACAGTGGAAACCAGACACTTCTTCGTGAGTATTATCAATGGTTTGGTTCGGGTCTTAATCGTTATGCAATCGTATAAAGAATATCAGTTAAAATACAACTTTTACTCCAGCGGATGGTATGCTTTTTATCGGAAAACAGGCTACCAGACACCTGTGTAATTATGAGTTTATATGGTTTTTACGGCATAGGAAGCTTGGCGAAAAAGGTCACCGGATGAGAAATTGGCAAATTTTACTTGTGATAGAGACGTGTTTAAAAATATACACGAGATGCCGGTTTATGCGTTATCAGCTTTACTGACAATTAGAAATATTTTCGGGTTTGAACTCTGAACAGCCGGGTACATAGCGCACACCACCGGATAAAAACAAGATTACACCTCCAAACTGCAGGCAAAATCGGGGATTAACTGAATAAGCAGGAACTTTGCGGAATAATAATTCTAGTCTCTGAACCACAAATCAAGCCAGAGCTCAACAAAAAGATAATAACAGGGAGAAGGGGGCACACATCACAGTCTATATATAACACACCATCGCGGGGGACAAAAGATCCCTTTGAAAAGCATGGCGCGCGCGTCACAAAACAACATAAAATCTCTCTAGAATCTCTTGCATTCTCTTGCATTCGTCTCAGATATCGGCGGATCCACGACGCCACTGCGAATAGGAGGTAGCCGCCGGCGGCGGCGGGGAGGCGACGTAGACGCCGCTGGCGTTGCCGTACGTGTACTCCGGCATGGGGCCGCCGCCGTGCACGTAGCCGGCCGAGGACTAGAGGGACGGGGATTTCGCCGGTGCGCAGGAAACGGTTGAGCTCCTCCTCCGTGTCGAAGATCCAGATGTTGAAGGGCGAGCCGGGCACGTGCTCGCCGGACCATTTCACTTCGATGCGGTAGTCGCCGGGCTCGGTGGGGTCGTACTTGCACAGGATGGTGCGGTCCTTCTGACTCTCGCGCTGCATCTCCACGCGGAAGGCGCCTACAAGACCAAAAAATAAATTATAATTTTTATGGCTTTATTTACAAGGTAAAAAAATATTATAAATTGTATTCTTATTTTAATATATTAAATAGAAATTTTACAATTATTTTTAAATTAAAAATTATTTTATTTTATAATTACTTTTAGATTATTCTTTTAAATTATACTCAATTACCATTCAACCAATCAATCATTATTGTAATTTAAACAGTTTTTCGCTTAAAAATAACTTTTTTATTTTCAAATCATTTTTTGTCCTTTCTTATACCTAGTTTTATTGTTTTTGGGAATTTTTATACTATTTTTAGGAAATTTATAACTTACTTCTGATAAGTCATCCGCAGAGTTGGAAGCCAGTAAAACTGATTGTAAAACGTACCTTTGGGCCCGCGCACGCGCACGGTTAATTGCCCAGCACCGGCACCTTTGGTCTCGCACATGAACCGGCTCTGATAACTGGCCAGCACATCGTGATTCACCCCGGACCGTACACGCGCACCTTGCTGGGATCGGGTGTACCGGCAATTTTAATGGCAAATGGACTTCCTATAAACAGAAACACAGAAAACATTGTAATAATCAATGCGATGATGGAGCTAACCGTTGACAGCGTCCTGGGCACGTGTTCTCCGTTGTACTTGATGGTGAGCAAATGTTGACCGGCTTCGGCTGGTTTGATTCGCAGTGTGTACGTTCCGTCCCGGTGGTCATACAGCTCACAGAACGCCTCTTTATGCGGACCCATACAGTGTACGGACAGTTCGCCTGCAGAATTATTACATAATTAACATCCACTAGACTTCATTATCTGTGCTTATAATGGTTTGGGAACACACTGCCGAATCTTGAATGTGTAAAGGACGCGTATAGAATAATCGGTTGTGCCATATTATTTTGTCTAATAAGGAAAATCGTAAAACAGTGCAAACTAGACAATTCTTCGGTGGCAATTTTAATGGTTTGGTTACGGCTATATTAAATCGTTATAAAACATACAAAAAATAAATGAAGAAATTAAAATAAACTTTTTTTACATCAGGCGGATGGTTTGCTTTTGTTTGACGTACCATTAAAGCAGCTACTCATATACAGCATATTAAGCTGTAATACTGCCGCATTTATTTATGTGTACAGTGTATTACAACGATTATTATATTTTATCACATAGTATGTACGTTTGTATATTGTAGCAAAACTTTTCATAAGAAAAATCTACAATACGGCCTTCCGCTTCAGCAGCAAAAAAATATGTTTCTTAAGCGCCACGCGGTACACTGCTCTTCACTTGTTGTTACAACGATTACAATACGCAAAGGGCTACCAATTTCCACTGTTCTGCGATCAACCTCTCTCGGCACAATATTGTGGCACAATTCATACTGCCACCACGATAATGATAACTGACACCCCCCATAATGATAATTTAACACCCCCCATAATGATAATTTTTATACGTGGCATAATTTTTAAATCGCATATTATTATTCTGCCGGGAATGTAACACGAGGATACTTTTCGGACTTACCTGGTCCGGCGCGTCGCGTATCGATCATACTCTTGATATCCTTGCCGATCATCCCGCTCTTGATATCCCCACTGACCACCACCTTACTGGCATCCCCGGCGGACGCCACCGTCAGTTTGTACGGGCACCCTTTCACCGTGTCCCCGCTCCATTTGACGTTGAGGACGTAGGAGCCGCTGTGCTGCGCCGTGTACGTCGCTTTGTAGACGTTACTGCCCAGATGCTGCAGCGTCACCGGGATGTCGGCTTTGATGCCGCTGATGTGGACTTCCGGTTCGCCGGGTCCGGCCTCCTAGCCGTCGATGATGAACTCGGCTTCCTCGCGCACTTTGGCCTCCGTCAGACCGCGATCGCGCAGCCGCACCCGGCCGGCGTCGATGGGGATGAGGGCCGGCTCGGCCCAGCCGGGGAACGGGGAGTGCGGGATGGGCTGCTCCGACCACCACACGTGGATATCGTGATGACCTATAGTGTGGCAGTTTTACTTTCAAACGCACGTATTTTAATTCAGAAGCGAATTTTATTATTTTCTGCGTATTGACATGCTATACGGAAGATGCACTACATCTACCGTACTAGATGACCAACCACACACAGTCGGTAGAGTGGGAATCTCTGTTCTGAACGGTGATCTGCTCCTAACTCCTACGCTCACAACCAGTATCTGGATGATGTTCATCCAGATTCAAATGTGACTTCCTGCAGGTACACACTAATGCTTTCGCCACAAGAAGGTAACTCAGGATCTCCTAACCTTTAATCATAATCTGAAGACTGCACACACTGCATACAGACTCTCCAGCCAACACCATCAAATCTGCACACACCGCATACAGATCTGCCAAGACCAAACTCACACTCAAACTCTCAAGTCAGACTCCGACAAGACTAATCACACAAACAGAATCGCTGATGGAATTAGCGATCAAAAGCTTTAGATAAGAACAGGTAAATCGTACGTGAACTACGACGTACGTACAAAGTATGGGCATACTACGCCTACTGCGTCAGTATTTTAGTTTCTTTTTCGATTCCAGGATGCCTGATACTGATTATCACCTGACTAGAAAACCGAAATAATTCTTTTTGAACGCACAAACGTAGTACAATGGCTGACTGTGGAAAACCCCAGTTCCAAATCGATAATAAAACTTTGCTATCTGTCCTCGCTTAATTTGCAAACTCTAAGAAACCATCAAACTTTATTTTAAAAATAAATGTTTTTCTAATAAAGTTTTATATTTCTAAATTTTTGGAAAATTTTTAAATTTTTGCTGTTACTACCGGCTAGAATTGTTAAATGCTCCGTCAACGCTGTCCAAAGCGTAGAACATGGAAAAACCCAATAAAATTAAGTACTCGAGCTCTATCATGGAGCTATCCGAACATTAAGTCCAATTTCTACTGTTTTTGGGACCCAAAAACAGTAGCTTTTCACAGCAAATCTTTGGGCCAGCAGATACATAACAAGAGTAAAATTGGTGATATTTCTGAACCATGTTGCTTTTCAAAGCTTTTCATATCGGATAAACAAGCTACATATTGCAGTGGGTGCAATTTATGCCAGACTATACAGATCTGCAATCTGTAGTAGTTCATACCGCAGTAATTTATATTACGGTTAAAATAGCTGTTTAAATATTTGTTCATCTACTGTATTAATTAATTTTGTCGCTGTTTTAAATTGTCGCGTTGTGCTTACCTTCTGAAACTGACGGGTCCACTGGGCCCGCGGACTTCCGCCGACAGTTTCCCTGGACAGGCTTCCGACGTATCGAAGGTGATCGTAGAATATTTAATTTATATGAAACATAATCCTACCTATTTGTTCCGATCGCTTTCGAAACGCTGGGCCCGTGAGGACCGTCGGCGATCACAATCATCAAAGAGCAGGGCAAAAAAGAATGCACACCGGAGAAACAAGCTCGCACGAATTTCTGCGGCAGCGTTTGTCCATGGAAATTCAACGAGGAAATGCGGCGTCAGTGCTGGGGACGATGGAAGGGCGGATAAGCCGAACGAAATTTTTCTGTTAATATCTTAGCGTGTTTTTTTTTGAATTTGTGTATTGCGAGTTTGATTTGACCAATAAAGTTACAGTATCCTGATCGGAGTGTTCCCTAAGGTAATGTGCAAAGCTTCAGCTTTCAAAGGTGTGATGATGTTACTGTGCACTGTGACTTGCTTTCGACTTGCACTAAACATCGTGGTGTTCGCGTTGACCACAGATGGCACAACAGTGTTGGCTACCATATCCACAGAACCGACCCGCGGCTGTGCAGTGACCTTTGTTCCATAGGTGGCACACTTCGTCATCTTTGGCTCCCCGCTACCTGCGGGAGGCTGAGAACCAACCTGACCTACCCACGATGAGCGACGATTGCTGGTACTACTTTGCAATAGCGGACATTCAGGCCTGATGTGTCCGAATTTCCAGCAGTTATAACACTGGACCTCAGTATTTCTGCCTACACCGCCTGTGTGATGACCAGCGTCATGCCCAAGTGGTTGCATCAAATACTTGGTATAAGCGTCGTCATTTCTGCGCTACCACTGCATGACATCATTTGGATTTCGTCAAACGACTAAACGGAACTGTCGGTCATAATCAAGCCACTGGTCAACAGCAGTTCCTTTCCCCGCTTATATCTGCGCGACGTGATCTATGTAGTTCATCATAGGTAGGTCCACCTCCTGGTATATGGCACACCGATATATTTTTAGCACGGCAAACGCCCTCATCCATGGACTGAAGTCTCGAATCTGCGCACTTTTGCCAAATGCATTCTTAGTGTCGACTACGCTTGAGGGGGACATTTGTTTAGCAGTTAATCAAGAAGGTTTACGAATTACCTTTTGCGAATAAAGCTATGAAGAAAGTCCTTGACCGAGCTACTGCCACTATTCAGCGAAGAGAAATGCTAGGAAACGTAGTGACCTTTCTGTTGCACAGAAACTCAGCTGAATATGTACTACACGGGGGTAATTCCACCTCTCTTGTCAGACCAGTTCCGCCTCAGCCTCCTTTGGGTGAGTGACCGGATTGACTACCACAGAATTCGTGGGAATTTTTTATTATTTTCACCGAATATCATCCAGAAATTATAGCGACAAAAACCAAATTTTTAGAAAATCTTCGGATTTCATAACTTTGATCACGATTACAGGAAACGCGGAGGCGATAGTCGAGACTGTTTTTTAAACGTTACCGACCAAGTCGTCGCATAAAATCTCGTCGCGGGACACTTTTCGGCCATTTTAGGTCGCGGGGACAGTTCATTTAAGGACTTGTCGTCGCTAGACTTTTCGTCTTGAGACATCTGGCAATCAGACATGTGGTTACACGGACAACTCGAGTTCAGACATTTCGTCGTCAGGACAATTGGATTCGCAATTTTTTAATTGAAAATTTTAATTTTAGCTTGAATATGCCGCCGTTTCACTCAAAATTTATCTCATTTAGACAAGCCCAGCATATGGAATAACTCCTTATTTTTAAAAATTTCGAAAACATTATATTATTTCGATTATTAGTACTAGTAGATATTGAGCAAACTTACCCAGTTATTCAATTAGGTACTTGCGTGTAAAACATGCAGTAAAATCTAAAAACTGCTCTGTGTTATACAGAAACACTATTACAAATACTGTATGTTAAGATTCAATATTTTTGTGGTTTCTGCAGTTAAAATATTAGAAAATTGTGCATTATGGCAAACCATCAACAATTATATTATAATAATTGTGTGTATTTGAAGTTTGTGCACGATTAACAGAGAGGAAAGCAAGAGAGACTTGATTGCCATTATTAATTTAGGTTGGAACATTTAGCAAGGAACAAGCTTCTCTGCACACTGTACAGTCTATCATTATTCATACGTGTGCACAGCAGACATCGTTAAACGCAGAATCACTTTCTCACTTCAAGACAGTGATAAAGGGTGTCCCAGTTTCCATCACGCAGTACATTTTGACACTACAGAAACTGCATGAATAAAATAGTTTCTGGGCTACACTGACACAGATCGCACGTAAATGTCAGTGATTTTCAATTGTCTCCGTGTTTGAAGGATGACAATACTTTTCCCCTTCTGCCTTCTGGTTGTAATGCCAGAGAAGTCATGATCTGTTCCTTTAAAAATCAGTTTTTCAGTGGCAAAACCAAAGTTTCAGAATCAGCCGCTCGTAAACAAATATTTCCTCAATTTTTCAGCTAAAGGTTACAGTTCCAGGTTGACCGCCTTGCCAACATCGTCAACGACTATAACAACCAGGAAAAGGTCGGATTCTTGCGAAACACTGCGGCAGACCTGGAATTGAGTGTGTGAGCGGTCAGTTACGCATATTTTCATTAGCATAAGCAAGATGTTTTTGTTTGCTAAATCTTGAATGTGTCGAACTGTGGTGTGGTTAATTAAACTTTTGCATGCCTTAGTTTTTGTAATTTTGAGCAATAACGATCGCGGTTGGTTAAACTCCTTCCACGATTTTTATTAACTGTATCTACTTCGGTTTTGTTTTATATTTTATTAAGACTTTCTTCTTGGCGGTTCTGATTTGTCATTAACTTCGGCTTGAAAATAACAAAATTTCACACAACGAAAAGTCCATCAACGAAAAGTCCGTGCGCCGAAATGTCCTAGCCTGGCAACGAGTAGTTTGCTACCAATTGTCGCGTTAACGAAACATCCGAAAACGAAATGTCCGTAAAACGGAACGTCCACATACGAGTTGTCCCACGACCAGAAGTCCTCTAAACGAAGTGTCGCCGACGAAATGTCCCGCGACGAACTGTCTCGCGACGACTTGTCACGTAGCCGTTTTTTAAAACCCAAAAGAAAATGGCTATTCCCACCACCCTGGCACGTCTATCTTATGGCTATTCCCACCACCCTAGCATATCTTATATGTATATGAAGCAAGCCGCGTCCAAATCGACGCGCTTGCTTCATATACATATAAGATATGCTGCATGGAGGTTATAAAACTAAATCCTGATCTTTTCACAATATTATACTAGCCATTTTCGGATACCGTGTTCGATGTATGATGTTCGCAACGTAACGTTTTGTGCGGACATTACTGACACACGCTTCCATACGAACAGTACGAATACAAACAGCACATACAAACAGTACTTCCGATGTGTGTTCGTACTGTTTTTCCATGGCGTCGGTTGCGATACTGAATGCCTTCAACTTGCTAGTTGCTACATATATATCTTTTTCCAGTCGGTACATGGAAAGATTTGGATCTCGTTTCTGGAGGTTAAAAAATTAAACTAAATTAAAAATTAAATTTTAAAAAATTAAATGGTGGTATGCGGAGTCAAAAGTGGTGCGCAAAAGGTGGTATGAAAGGTGGTACTAGGAGCCAACGGTGGTATAAAGGTGGTATGCGGAGCCTTCACCATAATATTTTGCATAACAAGGGAAATCGTAGAACAGTGGAAACCAGAAGCTTCTTTGCGAGATATTCTTAATGGTTTGCTTAGGGTATTAATCTTTACAAAATCGTACAAGGAATCAATTAAAATAAACAGTTTTACTTCAAGCGGATGGTCTGCTTTTTAACGGAAAACAGGCACCTGCCTGTCAGATATGACACAGAAGCAGAGAGCAAAATGGGAGCAATATCCTCCTTTATTGTGTAACAATAAAGCAACCAACAAAAACAACACAGAAAACCCGATGTGGTAAAGCTGTGGTGAAAGTGGCTGCCAGCGAGCTCGGTGGAAATCGTGATAATCCCGCGGCATGCAGCAGCTGAATCACAGCTGGTACCGCAAAGCATGGAATCGCTCGTAAGCGCTGGGCCACACCTCCAAAGTGCATAGCGAACGCTGATTGGTCAGCGTAGACAAAGTATACGCTGAGTTATCAGCGTATATGAGCGGCACGGATGGCGTGGCCATACGCGTGCGGGCGACAGAGCAAGCCACAAGAGGTGTCTACCGCCTCGAGTGAGCGGTCTCTGACATGCCTGATTATGAATATGGTTTTACGGCATACGAAGCTTGGCGAAAAAGGTCATCCGGATGAGAAATTAGCAAACTGTACTTGTGTTCGAGTTTATAATGGAGATACCTGGTATTTTTAAAAATATACACGTGATACCGGTTTACACGTTATCAGTTACTAACTGTTAGAAATATTTTCGGGTCTGAACTCAGAACAGCCGGGTACAGCGCGCACACCACCGGATAAAAACAAGATTACAACTCCAAACTGCAGGCGAAAATCGGGGATTAACTCAATTTAACTGGATAAGCAGGAACTTTGCGAAATAATAATTCTAAACTTTGAACCACAAATCAAGCCAGCGCTCAACAAAAAGATAATAACAGGGAGAAGGGGCACACACCACAGTCTATAACACACCGCCGACGGGGGAAGAAAAGATCCATTTGAAAAGCATGGCGCGCGTCACAAAACAACATAAAATCTCTGCAATCTCTTTCATTCGTCTCAGATATCGGCGGATCCACGACGCCACTGCGAATAGGAGGTAGCCGCCGGCGGAGGCGGGAGGCGACGTAGATATATAATTATTATGTAATACGTAATTCTGCAGGCGAACTGTCCGTACACTGTATGGGTCCGCATAAAGAGGCGTTCTGTGAGCTGTATGACCACCGGGACGGAACGTACACACTGCGAATCAAACCAGCCGAAGCCGGTCAACATTTGCTCACCATCAATACAACGGAGAACACGTGCCCGGTACGCTGTAAACGACGAATTCCGTCGTCTGACTTATGTATATTGCGAATTGTTGTGATAATTAACTGTGGCTAACTGCAAGAAGTCCGTTTGCCATTAAAATCGCCGGTACACCCGATCCCAGCAAGGTGCGCGTGTACGGCCCGGGTGTAAGTCACGGTGTGCAGGCCAGTTATCATTTCGGACGTACCTGGTCCAGCGCGGCGCGTATCGATCATACTCTTGATATCCTTGCCGATCATTCCGCTCTTGATATCTCCACTGACCACCACCTTACTGGCATCCCCGGCGGACGCCACCGTCAGTTTGTACGGGCACCCTTTGACCGTGTCCCCGCTCCATTTGACGTTGAGAACGTAGGAGCTGCTGTGCTGCGCCGTGTACGTCGCCTTGTACACGCTGCTGCCCAGATGCTGCAGGGTTACCGGGATGTCGGCTTTGATGCCGCTGATGTGGACTTCCGGCTCGCCGGGTCCGGCCTCCGAGCCGTCGATGATGAACTCGGCTTCCTCGCGCACTTTGGCCTCGGTCAGGCCGCGACCGCGCAACCGCACGCGGCCGGCGTCGATGGGGATGAGGGCCGGTTCGGCCCAGCCCGGGAACGGAGAGTGCGGGATGGGCTGCTCCGACCACCACACGTGGATATCGTGATGACCTGTAGCATGACAATGGTACTTCACAAAAATTCACGTATTTTAATTTAAATGTAGATTTTGTTATTTTCCCCGTATTGTATTTTCTTTGTGAGTTCCAGTACCTAATGATATTATCACGTGACTACAGAGCAAAAATAAGTACTTTGCGATACAAATGTAGTATAACGGCTAATTGTGGCTAACCCCATTCCCAACTGTCTATTCTCGCTTAATATGTAAAGCGCAAGAAACAATCAAACGGTATAATTTAATTTTTTTCTTAAAGCTATTACTACCGGCTAGAATTGCTAAATATTCAGTCAACGCTGTCCCAAGCATGGAACAGGCAAAGACACAATAAAGATCCGTACTCGAGCTCCGTTATGGATTTATCCGAACATTTAAGTCAAATGTCTATCCTAAATTAAAGCAGTAAATTCTTACAGCAAATCTTTGGGCCAGTAGGTAACAGTAAAAACGCTAATATTTCTGAACTATTTGATTTACAATGAATCTTATAAATATTTAATAAACGAGCTAACTAATGCAATTGATGCGGCGTACGTCAGACTATAGTAATTTATACTGCAATAATTCATAATACCGCAGTTAAAATAGCCGTTAAAATAATTGCTCATTTACTAATCATATCAACTGATTTTGTTAATTTCGTTCTTTTTCAATACTTTTAGTCATTGTCGTTGTGCTTACCTTCGGCAATCGCGGTGAAGCTGACTTTGACCCGGTCCTTGCCCACGTTCTCCACCTTGACGGGGATCAGTCCACTGGGTCCGCGGACTTCCGCCGACAGTTTCCCGCGATTGGCTTCCGACGTTTCGAACGTGATATTTTTCTCGTTGCAAGGACAATAAATTTTCATTATTACAAGACGCACAAGAGAACATCAGAAAACAAAAAAACACCCAAAATGCCAAGAAACCGAAGAAAATATTCCTAAAAAGGATAAGAAACCAAGAAACCAGACCGAAAACAATGGATCGGTAAAACAACAATTCCTGGAAAAGGTCGGGCAATAAAACAGTCGAAAACCGAAATGCCGGTCAGTAATCTCTCGGTCAGCAGGTTGTGTTATTTACATGCTAGCAGGTAGCAGTATCGGTCAGCAAATTGTTTGGAAGGAAAACGGTGGTCAAAGATTTTACGTGCTCCCCAAGTTCAAGGTCATTCTTCAGTACTGATGAAGAAGATTTTTTTCAGAGCGGCTGTCCAGGTACCACATCAATGCGAACAAAGTTAAGTTTCGCAGGGAATGGCATGGTACCTGAGCCAACAGGTCATCCATTTTGCCAGTGAATCGTGCATCTCCCGCTTGCCACTGCGTCAGTAATTGTATCAAGATCCTTTTTGGTACAGGACGAGCGTCTAGTTGGCTTTGCAACATTCGAATGCCTTCGTCGCCCATCGGTTGGCAATTATTTTCCAGAAACTGCCTTGCAGACTGCATTTGCTCGTTTTGATTTGTGTTGATGACACACTTGCTTAAAAAAATGTCAGTACTTAAGTCCAGATATTGCGGTGTCCAAAACCTGCGGTAATAAGGCCCAACAAAAGCTTCCCAGTTACACCTGCATGATTCGGCATCCACGTACATCAGTCCTTTCATATACACATTCTCTAGGATTAATTTGTCACAAACGATATTCCAATGAGATCGAAATTGAAGAGTTAACAAGCTGGACCACGACAAGACATCTGGCGCCCAAACGTACCAGTTCGAAATAATGATTGCCTGCAGCTTGATGCTTTTTGCTTTTAGTAGGCCAGTCAGAATAGCGATGGGATCGGTGGAGCGGGAAGAGTGCCAGCCACTACCCGATAGTATAATTGTTTTTGTAAATCGGTTAATATTTTCTTCAAAAGCTAAAGCTAGCTGGTCATTCCCATATTTCTGCAGATTAAATTCCATCCGCAAACCAGCGGGAGCGGTTGTTAAAATGATGCGCCAGAATTTACACACTTTACGACAATTCAGTTCGTCCTGAAATTCCAGAAAGGAAAATATCCGATGGAAGGCTTCCACTGGAATACAAGTATTTATACACGGTTGATGCTGATACAGTGCTGTGGATATGGTAGCCTAATAAAAATAAAAAGATAAAAACGATCATTCATCCGATCGATTTTTTACTGAAGTATGGTAGGACACTGGGCATATACAGCGCTGCCGGGCCAAGCAGGGCCAAGCTGCGACACCAATCAGAGCTGCTTGTAGGAAGTCGAACTGTTGGCCAGCAAACTCTCGGTCAGCAGGTTTATTGATCAGCAATATATCAGTCATTAAACTGTCGGGAAGCAAAATGAAGGTCATGGGTCAGGTCAAGCAAAATGGACATGCTACGGGCAGAGACGGGTATACATAAGCCCCTTAAAAATGACCGCCACCCCATCTCCTTAATCACTCCCTGACCCTTACTGATATAAATAAAGATAAAAAGATTTGTTGCTAATGAACCCGGCAGTGACCTGACATGTGAGTTACACGAGGAAAGCTTTGAAAACAACCAAAAGGGCATAGAAAATACGTCCATTTCATTTTACGCAACTATGTACTGCGTCCTAACTTGGCCCGGCAGGGCTATAGTCTGTAGCGCAGGCCATTTTTGCTTTAGTAAACAAGTACTATCAGTTTTTGTAGTATGCGCGCATTTCTACATATCCGATTCTGCCTCGTAAATACCCGAAATACCCGATTCCGATCGTATCTTGATTACCAAAATGTGACTTCTTACCAGAAAGGATCTGAACGCAATGGGCTTGTCGCGTTCTCTTTCTAAATACCTCTTCCCATTACGCAGTTCATAGGTTGTTGTCCGCTTAGCCATTATCCGAAATACTTCGACCTAATAAAACAAAATTTAAAGCGTCTGTAGTGTGCATCAGCATCGTCTTTTAAAGCTAACGTCAGAATTACAGTATATAGCACGGGCGACGTGAAATTTGGCCGACCAGTGTTTCGTGCCGCAATGGGTGTACTGATTGAGTCTGATTCAAATAATAGTTTCTGCGATTTGTTTGATTTTTGCGTCACATACGTAGTACAAATGACTTGTTATGGGTGTACTGATTGAGTCTGATTCAAATAATAGTTTCTGCGATCTCGTTTGATTTTTGCGTCACATACGTAGTACAAATGACTTATTGTGCTTGAATTGTTACAGACTATAGCTGTCCATAATTGTGGCAGCTTATCTTGAACGTTTGTCTACAATCTCATGCAGGCTACGCCTGATTGTTGTAGGCGTCAAGCCTACTAAACAAACAATCAAACAAAACCACGTTTACCCTGCCTACCTTAGTACAGCTGTGTTTTTTGGTAGATAAGCATACTTCATGGTTCAGACTGCTCAGCAAACTGATCACCGTTTATTATATCGACAGCACCGTAGTACCATAGAGGCTGGTTCGCGGATAGAACCGAAAATGCAAGGTGAACATGGTGCATGCGGTTTGATCACTGCTTATGCATTGTTATTTGCGGTTCTTATAAGTTTCTTAGGCTTGTTAGCTTGATTAAGGGATCTGGCCCGGCACATATCACCAAATTCGTGCACATCCACGGGAACTTTCGCTGTCGCGCATTCCCAAATGCTGTTTTGCATTGCTTTATGGCATTGTTTAACCAGATGATTTGTGTACATGGGCGTAAAAACCGTTCGTTCACGTATGAGGTTCGGGAGTTATGGCTGCAAGAAAATATGCCAAAATTTTTAAATGTATTGAGGTGTACTCGTACCAAAAGTTTCGTTATAAACCGACCTTCTAATTTTGCACGTAAACGCAAATACAGAAGAATTTTAAAATAAATTAAAAAAATTTAAAATTCATTTTAAAATTTGCAAAAAAAATGTGCAGCTCTGGTTCGGTGTAACAACGATCTTCATATTGTAAGAGGAGAATCCTCTTGTACACACAGCAGCCGCCCATCCGCCGCCTACCTGGTTGGCTCAAGCACAAATATCTTGATCTTCGCCAACAGCGGCGATGGCACAGTGGCTGTGCTACGTGGATCACACACTCGGTAGCCAGCGGTTCGATTCCGCTCCATCGCCATTTTTCGGAATTTCCTCAACAGACAGGATCTTCATCTGACCGCCCTCCCTCGCTGAGATCACTACGGACAGCCGACTTATGGCTGCCTCTGTGATAATATTAACGCGCATTTACGAGTACGTACAAAATCTGAAGATCGGTTTATAATGACACTTCTGGTACTCCAGTCACTACACCTGAATGCATTTAAACGTCTTGGAATTTTCTTGCAGCCAGAACTCCCCAACCGGATGTTGCGCAAACGGACTTACGCCTACATTATAAAAAAATCATTTGGCTAAAATATATCATAAACTATAAAGGAATGCAAAACAGTGTTTGGGAGGGCTCGGCAGAGAAAGTTCCACGTCGATTTACAGAGGGTGTTCACGCCAAGTTGAGCAAGCAGTGAAAATAATTCTCAATAAGTTTTCGTTCGCTTTTTGATATCCGCTCGCCACTACGTTGCATACTCTAAAGTGTTCGTAACAGACCTGTGCAGTTATTTTTAACTATTTAACTTAACGCGAGTTATTTTCGAGTTATCGAGTTATAGCGTAACTCTGAAGCGTAACTCGCTTTCCCAAAAACTTACTCTAACGTAACTCTCCTGAAAATTCTTTGTATTGTCAATGGTAGCGTAACTCGCAGTATAACTCAAAACTTGATTTTCTTGCATCAGTAGCGTAACTCGCACGCTCTCTGTAACTCTTAACTCTAACTCTGGGTCAATTTTCCATAACTGCACAGGTCTGGTTCGTAATAATTTGGTGCCAGCTAGAAACTGCGAACGAGCAACACGGTTCAAAAAAACAGAATTTCCAACGAGGTACCGAGTTTTTCTCTTGTAACAATTTGTAAAAATATTTCAAAAATTATAGAACGTTTTCTAACGGAAACCATTGTAATCTTTTATGCAACGACATGCAGCGTTTTGAACTCGTATGGACCGGGAAGTTGGAAAACTAGGTTGGCAAAGAAACAGCTGGAAGACCAGAACGTACACCCTTCAGACCTCAGCCTCAGTGACAGCTGGAAGGAAAACTTTGACTATCCCTTAACAGAATCTATGCGATATTTTACGAAGACATCGAAGCGCAAGCGCTTAAAAAGATCTTGATTCGTGTCAATCGCGTGGTACCTGAAGATAAGACTCGCAAACGGCTCTCGCGAGTCCCTCGATTCTTCGAGTTTTTTCAACAGTCAAAATCTGGTACACATCATATTTATCGAAAAAACACAGATGTATCTTGCTTGTAAAAACGCTCAGTGAAAATTATGTCACGTCTTTAACTATTCCAAAAATTTTGAATCTGGGCTGAAGTGTTGGAAGGCAAAGAAAAAAAAACTGTCATCTCTGTTCAAAAAAATTTCGTGCCGTGGACCTACTGCGATACGCTTCGTTTTTCTTTTCACTGAAACAATCAACGTTGTGTATGTGAGGCGAGAAGCGGCTCACGTAAAGCGACAAAATCTTTCAAAGGATTTCAACGTATTGCGCCGTGGTGCAGTGGTACTGCCTACGCGGATCTAACGACGTAGCCGGGGTTCGATTCCCCTATCGGCGCCTTTTTCAGCCGTTTCTCGGTTTCCCTCGGATTGCGCCCTGCTTAGATGGTAGCAGATCGTGGTTCGATCACGGACCTATGGTATGAGACTGGTGTGCTAACCTCGAACGGGAGGAACAGAGCAAAAAAGAATAAAACGATAAAATGAATAGAGGATGCGGTGAGTCGGAGCCGCCGCTTAAAGGATCGCTTAGTCTCGCTACGAGGACGTAGCGAAAGCTGCAAAGGGGGTGTGAGGCGAGAAGCGGCTCACGTAAAGCGACAAAATCTTTCAAAGGATTTCAACGTATTGCGCCGTGGTGCAGTGGTACTGCCTACGCGGATCTAACGACGTAGCCGGGGTTCGATTCCCCTATCGGCGCCTTTTTCAGCCGTTTCTCGGTTTCCCTCGGATTGCGCCCTGCTTAGATGTACATAAACAATCTGATGCAGCCACTGGTTCATAAAGTCATCCCTAGGCTGCGTTCAGGGAAAGTAAGGAAGATGACAGTTCTCTCGGACATCCTTACAGTCCTTACTGTTCGCACAGCCGAAAAACCTGACCAGCGACTCGAACCACACTGAATCGAATTTAACTTGAAAGCCTTGAGACTTAGCTATATAGCCTATATTGCAGTTTTCACAACCAGCGATTTCGAAGTATGTATATATAATTTTTAAGCATTTTTTATATTTAGTTGGTGCGTTATCGTTTCGCGGTTTGTTTACTGTTCCTCGCAGACCCTGTTATACTTATAAAATTTGTGTGTCTCACAAAACAGCTTCTTCTGTGGAAAAATTTATTGTTGTTGTAGATAGAAAGGCTTTCAGATATCGTTTTTGTTTATGTAACAGTAAAGCTGAGGAAAGTTAAGTAAATTTATGCAAAAATGACTCAACGTAACCCTCTGTACACAAAACTGGTGCTATGTACCGGGCAAATCCCTTATAACTTATAAGCTCTAGTTTTAGCTCATGTTTTCTTAGGTTTCCTATTATTTTTTTATCTAATGTTTTTATCTTACGTTTTCTTACTTTCTTTATGTTATTCTTTGGTACTCTCGTTTTCTGTGATTTTCTTACTTTGTTAGGTGATCTACGTAGTTAAACTAACGAAGGTATAAATATTATTGGTATCAACAAACAGATTTTGGCTTCAACAGCTCACAATCTGTTATAGCAGAGTGCGAACTGCTTTACCCTTGGTGAGCTTCGGTATAGAATGCCTTGTTAAGTTTACTAAGACATATTTCGGCGATAATGAATTTTACTCACTTGGAACATGTTTAAATGCATTCAAAGGTGCTTCCTGGCACTAAAATTTTATGATAAGGGCGGTTCGCTTCCCCACCCTATGACGTGAAATCAACGATTACTAGTATTAGAATTACAATTGACCGCAGAAACATGCTCAGTGAAATCAATATAACGTTGTTTATCCAGTAATAGCCACACAATTAAGGCCATATGTAGTTTCCGTACTTCGAGGAAATCGAAATGAAAAAAAAATTAAGGCCAGATTTCCAGCGGTTATTAATTTTGGGGCTTTTAGCTAATTGTAAAGAATTAAGTCTCCTCTATCAGAATATGTCGTTTTCATTCAAGAAAAAGATTTGCTGAGTTTAAAAGACAACCGCTGGAACCTCGACTTAATAGCTATACAACTAAGTCCAGTATTCAAACCAATTTGTCATAGAAAGACCACAGAAGAAGTTCAAAATCGAAGTAATTAGTAAATTAGGATTAGTTACCCTACCTGTAGGTAGTTTACTAGTTTTAGTTATCCTACGTAGCAGGGACGGGCCGGACGGCAAATTTTAGTTATCCTAGTAATCCTGCGTAGCAGGGACTGATGCGTTAAGCCATTTTCAATTTCACATAAATACTCGTGTCTCCACGTTATCATATGTTAAAGTTCTTTACTGGACGGAAAAAAACTAAATGCGGAAAGGGAAATGCATCGATGCGTCTTGCAATTAAGCACATCCCATGGTCCCAACGTCCCATGGTCTTGCATGCACAGGTTAACGTCCTTTTACGCTATTAATGTACTCTTACCAATCCCCAAAAGTTCCACCGACGTGATTCATCCCCCTGTGCAATATAGAGAAGCTTTCTGCTTTCAACCTTTACGAATATTGTGTTGAAACTGTGCCCATGCTCACGATTCCACCACCAGAAGTCTTGCTTGCTGCGCGCCTTGGCAAGAACTGCAGTTATCCAACTCAGCGGCATACTAAGTCGCTTGTAACTGTTTAGCTCGAAAGATGGTCGTTCTCCAGAAGGCATGATCCACATGCGTCTTGCCACTTCCCTCACAATTTTGCCGTGCCTTTGAGCCTCGACAAAAGCGAAAGTATAATACGATCCTGCGATAACGGTGGCCGGGTACCAGCGAAATGCCTCGCTGTTTGAGCCCCGCCACAAAATTTGTACCGTGTCGCCCGGGGCGAAAAGGTAATGAGAAATTCTCCCAAAGCATCGATGAAAAGGGATTAGCTCAGTATGGTGGCCGGGATATCCAAAATCAATGAAACAACCTCTCGCTACGTCCACATCAACTATCAGGCCGTGACGGAATGATCCATCGTCATCCTGTACGTCCACGGCGCCATAACACCATACAAGATCGTTTTCGAACATATTATTATAGTCCTCCTTCCTAAGTGGCTATATGCAGTTAATGTTTACTGATGAAGTTAATTCAGGGCACAAGGAAACTGCAGATAGAGCGGCATGTTGCTCATTTAATACTATTAACTCAGACTAACCATAAGGCACATAACTCAGCATAAGCAGTAAGCACTACAGTACTAGCTAAAAAGCAAAAGAGCAAAGAAATACAGTACATAAATTAATTATTAACGGCGAAGCAGTAAAACATCCAATGGAATGGCTGGTACTTGGTAGGAATAACGTATGCATTACATTACATTATAATCAATACTTCTGTATGTTAGTCTGTTATGTCAGTCAGTGTAGCTATGTCTTGGTACACTAGCTATGTCTTGGTACGTACTAGGCATGTCAATAATCTGGTCGATCGTCGGAGGCTGATCTGAACCACGCGGGCGCGCTGCAGCAATCCTTTAGGGAAAGCATGAAAATTCATGCACGTAACATCTATGAGCATGTGTGCGCTTTGGTACTCTCATGTTCTGCCGGCCTACACAGTTGGTCGGAATGGAATATGGAATCGGAATATAATAGTCGGAACGGAATACAAATATTCGGAATTAAATTTCCGGAATAGGAATCGGAATACTAAATTTTTAACGGAACGGAATATATTAATTTAATCGGAACGGAATCATGTTTTCTCGGAACGGAATTAAAATATATTGATCCATAAAATTTAATTGTTATTTAAAAGTGTCTATAGCAGTATCTGTAATTACACACTAGCCGTGTGAAAAAGTAGGGTACTCGTACTTGTACTTTTATAAAATATAACGTACTCTGCCATATGCAGGCACCGCATTACCATGTTTACGTAATAAACCGCTGTCTGAAACATTCCCTTCGAGATTGACTCACAGTCACTTCTCTCTCTTTCCTATCGCCGTTTGATACACACTGCGTAAGTCTTACCAAAACTGTACTCAAGGGGTTAGCACTAGTGCTAACCCTAACCCCTTGAGTACAGTTTTGGTCTTACACGCCGATTTATTACCCAAAAGCGAAAACATCTTTTGTTTTAAAACAATAACAACTGAACACCGCCTCGGCTTCTTTTAACTCACAGTATTCACGCTAGCGATGAGAACAAATTAGCAGCTGATTGCGAATAGATGAAAGCTTAATCAAACTGGGGAAAGGCCAGAAGACGGCAAAACGTCTGGAGATGAATCTTCCTAACAGCTTAACCAAACTACGAAAATGATTGAGGATCACACAAACAGCAGTCTGCAGAATAATTTTCTTAACAAAAATCACGCTGGCGCTGAATAAAGTTTCGATATATGCGCTACATTGCGTTTACTTATCTCTTGCATCTGTTCTTGCAAGACATCCTACTGAAAAGTTGGTGTATCTGATACAGACAGCATAATCTGTGTTATTGGTGTAAAAAGCGGATTATTCTAATTATACTTGCATTATCTACGATTACTGGGATCCATGTCCGGCATGAGCACCTGCCGCCGATACGCCAACGACATGTAAGTGAAGTATTATATGATCGTTTCACAGGCTAAACTAACACCCTGTGCCTGGCGGGTGGTGCGCGGCGGTTACTGACTTCCGCCCAGTAGTGGGCGGGTGGTGGACGGCCGTCGATGACTTCGGCCCAGTACCGGGCGGGTGGTGCGCGGCGGTTGCTGACTTCCGCCCAGTCCCTGCCGGTGGTGGTGGTGGACGGCCGTCACTAACTTACGCCCAGTTCCGGGCGGGTGGAGCGCGGCGGTTACTGACTTACGCCCAGTACCGGGCGGGTGGTGGACGGCCATCGATGACTTCCGCCCAGTACCGGGCGGGTGGTGGACGGCCATCGATGACTTCCGCCCAGTACCGGGCGGGTGGTGCGCGGCGGTTACTGACTTCCGCCCAGTCCCTGCCGGTGGTGGTGGTGGACGGCCGTCACTAACTTACGCCCAGTTCCGGGCGGGTGGTGCTCGGCGGTTACTGACTTCCGCCCAGTACCGGGCGGGTGGTGGACGGCCGTCGATGACTTCGGCCCAGTACCGGGCGGGTGGTGCGCGGCGGTTACTGACTTCCGCCCAGTAGTGGGCGGGTGGTGGACGGCCGTCGATGACTTCCGCCCAGTACCGGGTGGGGTGAGTGACGGCCTTCAATAAATTTCGCGGAGTTGCTGACTTGCTGCTAACTTAATGTAATGCCACATACTTATTGGACATTACATTGAGACAATACAGAGAATGTTATTCGACTTATTTTCATTGTACTTAATGTGGACACACAATTATTGTAGGGATACGAGCGGCATCAGCGATCCTGGCATTGACCACTCGGATCATGACGAAAGTGATAACACCATGCTTGAAGATGAACCGGAAGTGCTGGATGCTTCAACTAATTCCGGGCGCACCAACCATAACGAAGAATCCCTTGTCGATGCCGTTGAAGCATCCGATGACGAAGAAATTCAGTGGGATGGGAGCTACAAGAAGCGCAAGTGAGTTATATGAAGGCGCATTCAGAGTGCAAAAACATGTTTTCATGTTTTACTTTCATCATAATTGTTTGCTGTTTGATTTACAATAAAATAAAAAGGAATAACAAGAAACTGTTTGCAAAAGAGTGTAAAGTTCAAAGCATTGTCTGCTGTGTCTTGCACCTTCATCATGTCATGTGATTGCTATGTTTTTGGACTTGAACGATATCGTTATTTACACCGTATTTCTATTCAGGTTTGGAGATTACGTATATCTGAAACTCCCGGCGCGGGAGCGTGATAGATTTAGCCTCTGTATTCAGTTATTGGAAGATGACCCTGAAGCGACCGAAGAGTTTCTGAATACAACGGCTCCTGTTGGATTTAAGCGCAACGGCACATTTTTGGTCCAGAAAAAACCGATGGATGATTTGTCGACCTTTCGGTTGGACGGCGTCGCAAACTGGAGAAGCGATGGGTCGAAAAAAGTGGTTGGCCCTGCAGTATGCACATATTACAAAAGTGACGACTGCCCAAATTTCCGAAAAAATGTGTATGAACTCCAGAGCGGGGAACCAAACTTTCTTTTGAATTATGCGGTGGTAGAATACAGATGGACATCCGGCAGTACTCCATCTGACTTCACTATGGCACCACGCGCCAATTCAGGCGGAAAGCATAGACAAGGTTGCACCGCTGTCGGACTCCGTATCCTTAAAAAGGTTGCGACAGAACATCCGAAACTGAGCACAAAGGACACTTTGCATGTAGCCCAGAAGGTTGCAGAAGAACAAAGCTGTAACGTGCTATCACGTCCCACAGTAGCAAGGCAGGCAGAAGCAAAAAGAGCTGCGGCCAGACGCGAAGGTGAAGCGGACACGCTTTCGACGTTGTTATTCCGAGAGGGCGTTGCCTTCACATGCGCTAATATCCGGGGCACCGCGGGAGATGCCAAAAATTGTGTTGTTTGCATCTATTCAGAGACGCAACTTGCCATGTTTCGCCAATTTGTCTTATCCGGAAACTCGTCAGTGGATTCGCACAGTCCATTATACGTCGACGGTGTCTTTGAAACAAGCAAGTATCATGTCATCACGACTTCGTTTAAGCACCCGTTCATCCGACGACGAAACAACCGGTCAGAGGGAATTTTTAAACGTGGCAGCGCCGCAGCCAACCCTGCTGCTGCGGTTATATCCCTGGACTTGGACGCCAATTGTCCTTACAGACAATGAAAAAGCCTTGCATCAGTCGCTGAAGTACGTTGCATATAAAGTAACTGAGAGTCAAAAAGATTTTTCAAATCTAGTACCGTGTCATAGTACGAGTAGATAGAATGTTGCAGAAAGTACTAGAAAGGTCAACAACAGGAAGGTCAACAATAGCAGCAAATTTATTTAATATTCGCTTTACGAATACGGGAACGTGTCACGCGAGCGGTGAGGAAGACTGTCGGCCTGGAAAACGTTCTGCCGCAAAATAATCCTTCGGAATCCTTGAACTCGATCCGCAAACGGGAATTTCCAAGTAGCGACAAAAAAATTGTCATTTTGAAGGATATTGTGTTAACCTTGCAAAAACTCTACGAAGAAGAGATGAAGGATATGGCAGAGCTGCTGATTGGTAGAGGAAATTTTGAGCCGCTTCTAGGATCACCTTTGCCCGAGCCAAATGCCGGGATTTTGAATGACGAAAGTAAGCGGCAGTGTGCATATAAGACGCTTTTTGGCTACGTTCCAGAAAATGACCCGCTGCAGCATTTGGGTTGTTCTGCGGAGAAATCCGGACAATTAGACTTCCCAATCAAATTTGCTGATTCAAAACTTTCTGTAAGCCTGCGCAGCGTCTGGAATTCTGCCGTAATAATTTTGCGAACGCAAGCCATTGTGCGCGATGAAACGGAACCCACCGGTGCTGACAGTGTTAGCATTACTATTCACGACAAGAAAAACCGCTCAACACAAGGTGTTTCATGGAATGCTACCACAAAAACTGCCAGTTGTGGATGCAGTGAATTCAATCGGCTAGAAATCTGTAGCCATGCCTTGGTAGCTTCACATTCTGCCGGCCAGTTAGCCGCTCACTTGGACGAATTCAATAACCGTGAAGTTGGCTTCCTAACAGCTGTGCGAGCGACGGAAAAGGGAGGCGGACGTAAAGGTCCAGCTGTCAAACGGTGGGGTGATCGAAAACGAACGGCCGGTGGAACGTTTCGTGAAGGCAAAAATGAGCGCAAAAGACTTCGAACAAGCGGACCGGAAATCCAACAGCCGGTGGCTGTAGCCTGCTCTCAGCCAGTTCCAGTTTCATCGGTGAGTTACTGTATGTAGACTTTACTTCAAATAAAATTACTTACTCATCAAGACTATCGAGCAGTTTGGGCCTAATTGCTGTGTTATGCAGCATGGACATAAGCACATTGCCGTATAATGATTCATAATAAAAATTAAGAAAAGTGCTGTACTAGTACGTCAGGAAACTTCCTGGCTCGTGATCAGATGGGTGTTTATTTATTCGAAATGGTTGTGCGCCATTTCAAACGGTTAAATGAATAAAACTAGCTGTAACACTAGCTGTAACAATTGCGGCGAAGAACTTCCGGGCGCATATCGCACCAACCAAGCGCCAAAATAAGTTTATCTAAAAAACACTGTGCGTTACCCGGTTAGTTATTATATGAATACTAACTACGTGACAAGGGCCCTCGACACTTTGCCGTTGGAGCGAATGTTCTCCCGTTCCATACATCCAATCTGCACGTCTAAAGTGCTACAGAAT